ACTGTTTCTTCTGTGTATGTCCACATCTCTGCACGTGTGTGTTTCTTTCTATTTCGTTTTTGCGTGTGTGTGTGTGTGTGTGTTTCTAGTAGCCGCAAAAGTTCATTGGGAAAGTGCAACCTGAACCTGCTGGGAAAATAGACCGCAATTCACTGATAAGAAACCCCATTTAGATGCAAACAAAGTCGTCTCATTCAGATTTAATTGTGGAAAAATCATGAAGATGCAACCAGAAGCGTGCTTGGCCTGCATACTGAGAGGGAGCGTCAGACCGTACTGTGGGTTGGGTGCCTTTGGGGTGGATTTTTCTTGCCAAAGCCCCCCAAAGAGAGACGACGGCAGGAGAGAAGAGATCCACAGCCCAGCTGTTATCAATTGAATACCAATTCGAAATTGTTCGGTGTGCAGCTGAAGCGAGACTGCTGCTCATTCGAAATAATATTCGAAATGCAGCATTAGTGCAGGTTATAAATCGAAATGTGCGGGGGATCGGGATCTCGGGAGGGACTCTAATCGTTATGTGCTTCGATTGCCTGTTTTGATTAGTTCGGTTCGCCTCTTCTGTGTGTATTCGTAGATTGGATTGGTTTGGATGACATCACCGCCGCCTCTCTCTCTCTCTCTCTCTATGGCTCGCTCTTCCACTCTCGCTTGGGGGATCCAACACCTCTGCAAAGCAGCCTCATATTTGTGTGTGTGTGTATATGCAGTACGAGAACAGTGGTCCAGATCTATGGAAACGTATTGAAATCAATTAATGGTACATCCCTAAGTTGAAAGTTCTGCAACTCGAGATAAATTTACACTTACATATGTAGCTTATGGCTGGGACTTAATTATGCATATTAAATATTATAGTGTGTCCCAAAAGTTATCCAAGAAGTCTAGACAAGAGCCAATTCGTATACTAGGAATTTAAAAGGGATAACTGAACTATGATCTTTTATGGTATTTTGGTATTATTTTATCGTTAATTTTTTCATTTTATTCTTAGGTATTCATCTAAGAAGTACCTAAGAACACCGAATAGCCCCACTGCCCCACAGTGCATCGCCAATACAGACGCAAGCGACTTGGACTTGAAGAGGTTGATTTGTTTGTTGGCCAACAAAACACACATTGAGAGAGACACCGACATACACAGAGAGCGCGCCCAGCGCCAGGGAAGCGAGAGCGAGTGAGAGGGAGATAGAGAGAGAGAGAGAGAGAGAGAGAGAGAGAGCGTAAAAAGCCCCAAGAGCGAACGCCAACGCTGACTTCACATTTTGTTGTATCTTCTGCTGCTGGTGGTGCTGCTGCTACTGCCGCTGCCGCCATAGAGTATCTGTATCTGTGTCTCTGGCGAAGCTCAATATTTTCAGTCAGTTCGAATTCGCGAAACAATGCGGTCGCCGTACGAAGATAGTGCTACGTCGACGGACCACAAATACCAATACAGCAGCGCCAATAATAATAATAATAATTACTATAAAAGCTATAATGTGAACGGCAATGGCAATGGGAATGGAAGTTTGAATGGGAATGGAAATGGAAATGGCATACCTTATCACGCGCGCGAGAACTCTCTTCCGTTCAGCTATGGAATTGCCAAAACATCGACCCCGTTGCGCAAAACTCCGACGCCGACGCGAGCGGATAGTTTCCTAGACTTTGATTTCGGCAGCCCTAAAAGTAACATTAATACTAATAACAATAATACCAATGATATGATAAAGCCGCAACCTCGTCTGACGAGCCCTTTGCTTGTGCGCAAAACACTTGGGAACGGAACAAATTGTGCATCAAACACCATAGCCAATACGTATCACTACAGATCGGGGAGCACGACGCCAACGCCATTGAGAGATGACTTCGAGCAGCTGCTGCGGGAGAGGCGCGATAAGGTGTTCAGCGAGTACCGGGAAAGGGACGGCAGGGAGAGAGTGCCGCCAACTCCGCCGCAGCGCCACTATTACCCCAACCCCAGCCCGAACGGGCAGGGAAATGGCTACGGAAATGGCACTGGAAACGGATATCGGAGCAGTCATTCCAACGGGCACGGGCAGGGGCAGGCCAGCAAGTACAACTACGATTTCGAGTTCAATCTCCACTTGGATGACACGAATACCGATCGTAGCTCGCTGCCAGCTCCGGCGCCCTACAATACGCGCACCATCCAGTTCGAGGATCAGCGGCGCGAGCACAGACACGAGCTGGGTGGAGGGCAACGCGATCAGGATGTGCCAGATGGCGTGGTGAACCGCCGCTTGGCATCCACAGCTGTGGAACGCAATTATCACACAATTAACAGCATGGAACGACCTCCATTGGAGGCGACATACAAACGACTGTTGGAGCCGCAACTGCAACTGGGTGCTGTTTATGGTCAGAGCAACCTGGAGACACTCACGCGCACTCGTCGCGAGGTGTCCACAGCCACAGCCACAGCCGCCCCAGGCAGGTCCACATCGCCATTGCCATCGGCATCGCCATCATCGCCTATCTATGCCACCAGCACAAAGAGAGTGAACAACCCAAATACCAATGGCTATGGCTATGGCCAGACAACGCCTAGTCCCACAAGCCGGCCAGAAACGCCAGCCTTTCCGGTCACTCCTCGAACGCCATTTGGGGGTACGGTTGGCACGACGTTAACCCAGTTGGGAGCCGAGTCCATCTACCAGACAGCTTCCAGGCAGCAACAGCAGCAGCGCCTCAGCTCGCCGCAAGAGCTGCCACTTTCGCCGATGGAGGTGGCCGCCGACTCCGTTCGATTTGCCCGCAGCTCCGCAAAATTTTGGTACAAGGCCAATTTATCACGGGAGGATGCAATTGCTCTGCTGGCCTCGGCACAGCCGGGAACCTTTTTGGTGCGCGACTCGACCACGTACAAGAACGCCTATGGGCTTGTGGTGAGGGTGGCACAGCCGCCGGCTGGTTCCCAGGAGCTGGTGCGTCACTTTCTCATCGAGCCCACTCGGGAGGGTGTGCGCTTGAAGGGCTGCGACAACGAGCCCGTCTTCACCTCGCTGTCGGCGCTGGTGTTCGAGCATTCCATCAACCGGTTGGCTCTACCCTGCCTCCTGCGCCTGCCGGAAGAAGACATTGTGCCGGGACTGGTGGCGACACCGGCTCAGCAGCATCTGTTGGCCCATGGCGCAGCCACCAATGTCCTGTGGCTGTACTCCTGCGACACAGAGTCGCTGACCGGCAACGAGGCCATCCGAAAGGCCATACGGCTGATGTACGCCCAGCAGAAGTTGCCCGAGCCCACTGAAGTCCATTTCAAAGTCACGTCGCAGGGCATAACCCTGACAGACAACACCCGCAAGAAGTTCTTCCGCAAGCACTACACGGCGGACGTAATCTCCCACTGCGCCATCGACCCCGAGAGCCGGATGTGGACCGGCGAGGGGCAGACGGAGAAGAAGACCATCTTCGCCTTTGTGGCCCGTCGCTCGCACAGCTCCAAGGATAACCAGTGCCATGTGTTCTGTGATCTGTCCATCAGCCAGCCGGCGGCGGCGATTGTATCCTTCGCCAATCGCACGCTTCCCACCGAAAAGCTGCGAAACTATGTCCTATAGAGTGGGGCGTGGCAGTCAGCAGGAACACTCTCCCGAGTGGAACCCAACACTCACACACATAGCACACACAGGTAAGATGATTGCTGGGGGCGCAGTTTTGCTGGCCATAAAAGTGCATTTTATGATGGGTGTGTGCTGACCTTGGGAGGCGTGACTGTCGAGAACAGTAATTCCTCAACTCGGTGAACCAATAAATCAGTTTCGAAATTTCTTCTTGTTTTCGACAGTCCAGTGCAAGTTGTTTTCAAGTCTATGCAAGTCATTGAAATCTGTTCCTAAAGTATGCAGCTAGAGGCAAATACATTTAAACAGAAAAACCTTCCAATCTCCTACAATTACTTGGAGATGCCTTGGCTCAAAGAAAGTTCGGAGATTCTATGTAGATTTATTTGCGCAGGGCTGATGCTCAATCCAAACTCTCTCATCTCGTCTTGTTAAATTTATATGATGAGATTTTGATACCAGGAACTATCCGCAATATAGCTTTTTGTGTCTTATGTGTCTTAGCATGCTCCCACTGTATCGTATCCATTCAATCACTCTCCGCTCAAAACGGAAAACTATTAAAAACGATTCTGTTTCTTGGGCCCTTCCGTTCGGTCGTCTTCGTTCATTTGTTTACTTTACATAATGCCTCGGACTTTGTTTGTTTGTTTAACGGTTTCCATATACTGCTGTGCACACATTCTCGTATATATACAGACATATCTACGTTCAGATATAGGTACATTCGTGTATATAGAAGAAGCATTTGGCTAACGTTTCTGACTACACCATTTTTCGCAACGGAAGCTTCTGTCATGAGTCAGTTGTCTATAAATGATTGAGAATTCGAATCGAAGAGTTTTTTCCAAATTCTGGAGGACCACACCTACAATCTTAATATTTTATTTGAATCTACTTCTTTCAAATTCCATTTGATTTGATTAATTCCCCCATTTCAAGGCCTAGTGCTGAGGTCGTCTGATAAGGCCAGAACGCTTAACTGTGCATTGCCATGCCATGTCATGCCATGCCACTATATGGACACATTTTTGTGTTGCTCATTTTCGTTGAATGGTTTATCAGTCGGCTGGACGATCGATCCAGTAATGCCGCACATTCGTCTGGGAATAACGCTACAAAAATATGTTCTATGTATCTCTTGTCTATGAGACTATAAAGCATACGAGTTTAATCAAAGGAAAGGTGAAATATTGTTCATAGGGAAAACTATATATTTTTATTCGATTTACTTGTTGGTTCATTTTAGAACGCTCGCCAGTTTCCACCTTGAATTTTTGTGGAATTTTTGCGCTCGAACTATAAAGAGAAAATATGCAAATAAACAGCCCAGCCGTTCATAGAAATCGATTTTACGTGTGTAGCACAAAAGTTTAAATAAATTCATACGAGCCGGCGGGCGTCAATTGCGCACTTCTAACAAAACCTCAGCACAAAAATTTATTCCAGGCGCGTTTGAGTTTATTTATTTTTCTAGCATTTTCTGCTGGTCTCTACCTTTCTTGATCAAGAAGTATGCGTAAAAGTAACTGTAAATAACAGTCTAAGAATGAAATCATATTAATATTTAACTAACTGTTAGAGTGAGAAATTCTTAATCCTCTGCGCTGCCAACATCTGTGCAAAATCCGTAATACCTCTGAATGGGAATGAATGGGGAAAATGTTAGCTCTCCAGTCCGATCTAAATTGAGGCCTGGGGGCCCCATTGGTTGTTCTATCGATCGAGTGATCTATTTGATCTGCAATTAAGCAATTAAACATGCACAATAATGCTTATAGAGTGTTCATTGAAATTTATGACCTTGTTTTTTTGCAATTTAAAATATATTTCCTCCTTCATCTCTCTCTCTCTCTCTCTCTTGCAGGAGAATGGAATTTGTGTCTGCAATGCAGTGTATGGCCAGTGTGCTGCAAGATGTAAGATCTACTAACTAAATCTGTTTACGAAATGTGTCGCCTTGCGATATGGAGGTTTAACTGCGAATATGTTAACAGAAATGATGTCAGCTATAGTTTATTTAGAGACGCACACACACCGGCAATCGACCATATTTATGGCAAAGCTAAAACATATGTACATATGTACATGCGAATGTTGTACACATGTACACATGTGTATTATCATCATGAATTGACTAAACGCACAGTGGGACAAGAGCCTACGGATGGCATTATATTTTTGGAAATGGCCCCTTCATATCGGTTTATATATCCACAGTATAGACCTTTTATTGAAGCTTTTTTTTAATTCCATGATGAAGAAAAACGGCTCTATTCCACTGTGCAGAGAGTGATATTAAATTGCCCGTTTATTAGTAAAAAAAAAAATATATATATGTACCTTAATGCTGTACACAGAAGTTGGTGTGGTGTTTCTTTATCGCTATTGCTACAGTACAGCGTGTGTGCTTGTCAGACGAAACGAATTAAACTTATCCATCTAATAATCTTAAAATGATTAACGGTTAATTAAGAAACTTGTTGAATAAACTCAGTTTAAGGCTAAACAAAACCTTTAAAACCAATCGAAGTGCAAGCTATAGGAACCCAGCTTGTCACCCAATTAATTTATACCAGTAATATCTACAAATAACTATAATTCTAGTACATGTACGTACTCGTGTGTATGTATATGGACATATGTGTTAAGCTCTACTAATGCAGTCAATCTAAATAAAGTGCAATGTTGTTAAACAAAATAAATGGCATACTCTTATTTTCTCCAGGATCTCCATCATCTGGTAATAATTTGTTATCTAATTGAAAATACAGACACTGCCTTTTAGCATGCATTTTAAACCGCTTGAGGCTGTAAATGTCATACATACATCAAACAAACAAATGGCAGAACTGCTGAGTCTGAGTTCTCTGTTGCTTTTGTTAAACAATTAATGGTTTTATATTCATAGAGCGGTATACATACATACATATATGAATGGGTATATTCCGTCTGTTCCAACTTTTGCACACAACAATTGTTTTGTAATTTAATCTTATCGTGTGACAAGAGATGTTAATGTATAGTAATCATTCACATACACACACGATTATAGTATATGGTTATATGGCTAGGCGCAACAATAGAAAATTGTGGAGCACTTTTCCCTTCCACACAGAGAGAGCATCATCCCATCCCCAAGTGATTCGTTTTATGAGTAAATGCAATTTATTCAGGCATCCACAGAAGCAGCCACAACAACAACCCAACCCTGTCTATACGAGTAGAGCAGACGCCATACCCATACCCCATACAGCAGTCAAGTGTGCCAAGTGAAATGAAAAGGCGTCCGACGACTCGACCTTGAGATCAATTTGTTAAAGAGTGACGTCATCGCCTTCGTATTTCAGAACAGCGACACTGCGCGACGAACGACAGCAGCTGGCTGTTGCTTTCATGCTTTCCGAAAAAATTCTTACAAAAGTTTACACATCAAATTTGAGGCTAATGCCTCGCAGATTTGTGTTTTGTGTGCACCCACAATTAATTGATTGGATTCCTTCCAAGCCTTCTAGCCATTTGTCGTACGCGTTTTTCAACATTCTGTATGATTTTTATTCTATTCGAAACTGATTGCTAATTTTATATACTTATGTACATATGTATGTATGTTTGCATATACATATCAAATGTACGTTTGTATGTACATATATACCCATTTGTCACGAGCCAAAGAAGCCGAAAACCTGTTTCGTCATGTTCATTGCCTAAATTTGATTATTAATTGATCGACAAAGAAACAGCAATCCAATCGTTCGCTTCGACAAAAACAAAGTCCACAGAGCGAAGTTCGTGTCGTGTCGTGTCGTATGCCCAAACACAAAATCTCTCCAAATGAGAAGCAATGCAGGTTTTGTATCTTACATTTAATACATTTGGATTTGGTTGTGTTGTGTTGTGTGTGTACAAAAGAGAACATAAAATCAACGTTCTGTGTGATTAGATATCTACATACATTAAATCTACGTTTACATCGTATTCAGTTAAACATAATAAATACATACATTTCAATAATATATACTCGAACGTGTATATATAACAAATAATACCATCCAGATCGGAGCCATTTCCATTCCATTTCCAGGTAGAATCAACATTACGCGTGAAACAGAATTCCGAGTATACAAACATAGTACATAAAGAAAAGCTCACAGGAAAACTCAAGAGGCGCGACACTACTGTGATGCATTCATACATGTGTGTGTAGTGTGGGTGTATGTGTTTTGTTAAGCTTAGTTACAAAATTTCTCTAGGTTTTCACGAGCCTATTGCCATATTGCCATTTTCCATTCCCGCACGATGTCATCTCGATGTTGAATTTTGGGGAAAAACTAATTTGATTTTGCCGAATACGGACTTGTAGAGCCCACCGATGGGGGTGTGGGTGTCGCACCGCTACGTATACCATCGCCCTCGCACACATATTTTCCTGCAAGCCGATGGAGAAAGGACAAACGTTAGAAGGTCCCACATATTCATCATCCACCGGTCAAACTAACCTGACACAAAGCGCCGCTTGACCAACGACAAGCGATATCCACTGCCCTGGAGCTCAAACTCGATGCCCGATAGAGTGGTGCCCTCGCAGTTGAACTGAGTGGCCAACAGGGCTGGTGTTGAGGGACCATCGTTGAGCTCAAGGCGAGCCCTCAAGGTTCCGACACCACCATCCTGGGAGTTCTGCGATATGTCCGTAAAGTTCCAAACCAAACGATTCGATTCGCCCAACCTAACAGCACAATGGAACAGGAATGAGTTGTGGGGCATCGGAGTGAGAAGGTATCTTGCTTACCACGCAGAATGGGGCTTGGACTGCACATTACGCACAGAGCCATTGACGGGCACGGACAGCGTGACGTTCAGGAGAGGCGAGGCACTGGCCATGGCATGGTTGTTGTACTTGTAGTCCACCTTGAGGGCTGTATAGCTGGACTCGCACTTCCAGTAGCTGACCAGCTGGAAGGGACACGAGCTGGCCCCCGGCTTGGTTCGCACTTGGTACTTGAGTATGTCCACATTGAAATACGATGCAGTGGGGTTGTTCTCCGCCTGCCTTCGCAGGAGGGCCGTCAATGCTCCCATATTGAACTCTAGCATGGTGCTCAATGCGCTCGACTGCTGGCGATCTCTGTGTGGAGGAAAATAAACGATGTTGAGACAGTCTTGTGGAATGAACACCGATACTCACATTTGCACCAGTTTCCCGTTGGGAACAAGATTCTCAAGATTCTGTACATGCTTAATGCGAAAACCCAGCTTGGCTGGATTGGGATTATTGGCTAACAGGCCGGCAATGCCGGCTGGGAATGATAGCATCATATCACCGGACACCTTCACCTGGCACCGCGACTCATCGCTTCCCCTGAAGTAGGCGTGTATAATCTCGTGGAAGGCCACCGCCAGCGGTATTGTGTCCGAAATACCAATTGTCAGCGGAGATGGTCCCCGCGAGGAGCCCACTCCCCCAATGGCCGTGCGGAACTCCAGGCTGCCAATGCTCTCGGCTCGATTCATCGGAGCTCCCGTCACGGGAGCCGGAGACATTCTACCGCGTCCAGGTGCCGTGTTCGTTGCGGCTGGTCCAATTGCAATCATGTCCGAGCGACGCGAAGGAGGACGTGGTATGGCTATGCTTCCACCTGCAGACGCGGACGTTGGTGTTGGTATCTGGCGTCCCCCTGGCTTGCCTAGTGTGGCCGATGCTGGCGCGGACATGCTCATGTCGCCCAGCTCCGAGAATATGTCTCCCAAATCCGCATATCGATTGTTGCTAGCATTGTTTGCGTTGTTGTTGGACAATGTGGGACTCTGCAGTGGTGCGTATGGATGCACGCTGGCCGTGGGCGTTGAGGCATTCGAAATCTCGGGAGATTGCTGCCGCGAGGCCGGTGCCCCTCGCGCCCCCTGCTGCAGCTGTTGACTGTGATGCTGTGATAATGCAGGTAGATTAGGTATTAGAGAGCAATCTGAAATGGAGTGTACGCATAACTTACTGAAAAAACTCCAGTTGGAGACAGGGAAATGTTTTCGACGGTGGCACGCAGCTCATCAACGCTGGCCGACATCGGCGCCTGGCCGTTGTTCAGCGGCTTGATCTTCACATGGATACGCCGCTCCTGCTTGTCATTATCAGAGTCCGTATCCGAGTCGGAATAGAAACTGCCAGCTTTAAAGGGTTCCAATTATTAGTATTTCTTCAGTTGTCAGGTCACATTGTTGGCAAATCTTACACTTGTCTTGGCCCTCCTCCCAGGCGATCTCTTTGGCCGGCTGTATGCTGAAGCCCTCCTCATCCACTTCGTAGCCAGTCCCAGTTCCAGTACCGCTGGAGCCACCAGCAGGAGCTGTAGTCGAAGCCGACGCGGTAAGAGCCGCTCCGGCATTGGGTAGGCTGCCGCCACTCGCCCCGGCAGCGCCTCCACTGCCGCCCATGCTGCTGGCCCCAGCCGAGTCCACGCTTCCCTGTGCAGAGGTGACAGACAAGGCTGCCAATCCACCGCCAGCGCTGCTGCCACTCGAGTTCTGTGTCTTCATGCTGCGTCCGTGATCATCGTAATCGAGCAGGGTATTGTTGGCCCTATCCACGCTGGAAGCGCGATAGTTAGGAGAGTGTTAGCTAAGGATTAAGAATTGATTCTACTGTCTGACTGTCCCACCTGGTCAGACGCTCTTCCTGTATGTGCTCGGCGGCCTCATTGTCTTTCTTCTTTTTGGATTTTTTAGTTTTCGTCTTGTCACGGCGACTCCTTAAGATGCCCGACACTGCCAGCGAAATATTGATTATAATTTGTGTTAGCTATGAGATGGCTTAGGATTAGGCAAGCTAGAGGCTAATAGAACGTATATACAATACATATTTGAGGGGAGGGGAGACACTGCCTCCCTTCAAGACACTAAACAACACTTTCAACATGTTCTCAGTGAGCAGTCAGACATTCGAAGCTTTGGACAAATGGTTAGTTCTCATAGAATAGTTTATAGTTTACATTGGAAACTTAAATGTAATTATATGCTGGGAACTCGTGACTCAAACACCGCCGTAAAGTGCTCCAAATGGTTTGAATGTTAATCAGGGTATGAGGTTACAATACGCTGTAAGCTGGTGCACACAGAAAAGCCTTTAAATTTGTACATATTTAACCTAAACTTAAAGCATGCGTTTCGGATGGATCGTACAGGTACAGGTGGATACAAGGTACAGGGTACAGGGTTAAGGGTGTACAGGAACTTTGTGGACAGGACAGGGCATGGCAGGGCAGGACAGGAGCGGGGTGGGTTCAATCACTTTCATTGAGATTCATTTACCCTGAGAGTTTGATGTAAATATATTTAAAAGTGACGTTGCACGTCTGGACGTTGTCGTTGTGGCGGCTGCTGTCGGGGCTGCTGCTGCTCCTACTGTGGTGCTGTTTGCTGATGCTGTCTGTTGGAGATGTTCTTGCTCATTTAACGATTTCGATAATTGCTGCTCGCTTGTCGTTGCATTCATTAATTGCTTTTTGGCACCACCTGCACTGGCAGTTGGTGTTAAGGCCTCGGCCGGCTGTTGTTGCTGATCTAAAGTTTGTTGATTTTGATTAGTCGATCAGTGCATGGCATGGATGATGGGTTTTGATTTGGCATGAACGATGATTAAGAGTTGATGGATGATGGATGATGGAGGTGGCAAAGCATGGAACGGATATTAGACAAAAAGACAGAAGAGAAGCACAGAGAAAAGATGGCGATAGTTAGTTAGGCTTATTGGGCATTCATGTGATGTGGCGTGTGCTGTGTGTGTGTGTGTGTGTGTTGTTGTGTGCATATGTATAAGTAGTCCCTTAGTCTCTAATGTTTTTGATTGACTGATTGGCTGGTGTTTGAGTGTACATTTGAATAAATTGATTGATAGAACGAAAGCAACTAAAAATAAAGGGAAATCCATAAACTTTAGACATAAATTAAGAACAGTGTTGGACGGGGAAAATATTCAATGATTCATTTACAACATTTAGACCAATAAATGAAACCAATAGCAAGGGAGAAAGTATTAGAAAATTGGAATAAATGAATATTTAAAGCATGACTAAATTAAGGTTACTCCAGGGCTACTCCCGGTATCACGTACGCAAATAGTTCTACGCAAAGATGTGAATTATATTACAAATACATCAAACTGTTTAGAAAATATGCATTTAGTCGGAAGAACTACAACCATAAGATACAACAAAGGAATCGAAAAGCAACAAAATAAAAACAAAATCAAAGAGAATGAACCTTCGTTGCTATTGTCCTCATAGATAGGAGAGTTTTTGGTGGTGATATTGGTGGTGAGATTATTCGTGCCAGTTGTTGCTGTGTTGCTACTGTTCGTTGCTGTTGTTGTTGTGGTGGTGGTGTTGTTGGTGGTGGAATTGTTGTTGTTGGTGGTGCTGTTGATGCTTCCACTGCCGCTCATACCGAAACTTCCAGCACCCGTGGTCTGAGTTTGAGGCTGCTGTTTCGCTGTGGGCATGAACCACGAACGCAAGCTCTTCACCGTAGAGGTGGCTGGCTGTGGCTGACCCACCACAGAAATGTCCGGCGATGTGGGACGCGGCGACGCCAGTGACCCGGCTCCGGCCCCGAGTATGGCGTCCTCGGCATAAGGAATACTGCCGCTGGCCGCACTGCCACTGCCCAAAGAGATGGCAGCCAGGGCATCACCTCGCTGATCCATGGACACAATGCTGCCAGAAGCGGGTGCTGCGCTGCCAGACCGGAGTGCTGCTTGAATACTGGTAGCTGAATTCGAATTAGATGCGGTGGCAGAGGCCTGCGGCTGCTGGAGCCTCGATCCACTCGAAAGAGCAATACATTCTAGTTCGGGCATTTCTGTCAGGAGAAGGAACGTAAGAGACATGATTACAGGGGATATTGGATGTCTTACCTGGCTTCTCAAGGCCCGTATACTTGTTGAGCACAAACTGTTCCAACAGTTTGTCCACAGACATGTCCACAAACTGGCGCTTGAAGTCGGAATGCACCTGCCCCACCATGTCATGATTGTTCTGCAGCATTTCCAAATAGGTGGACAGAAACTCTTTCATTTGCCGCAGATGGACTTCCTCGATCTCTTGGAAACGCTACAAAAAGTAGAAACTACTGTTAGCCAGGAAATAGGAAGACGGGAAGTGATTAAGGAGGCCCTTTACCTTGCAGGTCTGCGTCATGCGTCGCTCAAATTCGTTTTTAATGGGATTATGCTTATCCAACAGCGCCTTGTAGTCCTCGTGCAGTTTCTTCAGTTTGCTCTCCAGCTTCTCTGCATCCTTGTGCGAGCCATTGTCCTTGCGCAGCTTCTCCAGCTCCAGGACCTTGCTGGCATACAGATCTCGCAACTTTTGCACAGCCACCGTCGACGTTTGGATGGCCTGCACACACTCCAGAGTCTGCGACTCCTCCTCCTTGACGGTCTTGTGCTTCTTGTGCAGCTCATCAGCATACTTGGCCACGTCCTTGACCAGCTCCGTCAGCTTCTGCACCATTTGCAGGTGCAGGGTGGAGAGCTTCTCTGCCGAGGTGCGCAGTATGGTCCAGACCGGGGCAAAGGTGCTGTTCAATGTCCCGGTGCTGGCCTTGTGCGCCAGCTTGGACATCATCTTGGAGTTCTGCTCCTCAATGTTGGACTTCTCGCGCAGGAACTCGGACAGCTCTTTGCTGGCCACCAGGCCAAATTTCATGTTGTGGTACAACACATCGAACCCATTGTTCTTCTCGCCCTGTAAACGTGAATAAAGTGATTACGGATTCTTCCAGTTGCTGAGGCTTGAGGCGGCATACCCAAAAGTAATCATTGAAATCCACCGTCATGTTGTCTTTCGGAATGTTTTCCGTTCCTCGCCTCGTGCTTCTTAAACTTTAATTTATTATTATTATTATTTTCCTTCTCCCCTCAGTCTTCGTAAAGGCTTGGCTTGATTGCTTTCTAATTGACTTTGAACCTGACTTGTCAGCAACAGAAGCAGCAACAGCAGCAGCTCCCTAGTGGCTCTGGCTCATGTGCAGCAACATGAACGGATGTTGATGATAGTGTTTGTCTTGTCCTGGGCATGCGCTGGACTCCTCATCATCAGTTTCTGTTTCCGCTTCGTCTTCAACATGCATGGACACTGGTATTTATGCGATGCTAATGCTCTCTACATGCACGTTCCCACTCTTGGTATCTGCAGTCACTCTAAAATAAAATTAAGTAGATCTTTAGTTGTGTTCACCAAATTTATATTTTAGTTGTACTTTAGTTGAGCATCACTGAATATTAGCTATATGTATATATATCTCCAGCCCTCACATACAAAGTGACAGAGACTGACAGTTATGTGGTCGTAAATTAGAGATTTCATAATTCCACCATTTTCAACTTATGGCCACCCCACCATGGGGCACTATTCAAATAGCTCAGTCTAATATTCTCGGAACACTCACTGGAGCTTCTTGGTACATCAACATGCTCATTCGATTCAATAAGGTTGCCGGACCACTGGTTCTGTCTCTGCAAACACAACCCAAACACTTCTCAGGAGGATATCTTGACCATACTGTTCAGGGGTTTCAGGGATTCAGGGGTCCTGAATCTTTGAATCTTAGTGTTATATAAATAATAATAAGAGACCAAGTTTTATTATATTTATTGGATTATTATTTGAATGCAAATGTTGAACTTAACGTTAAAAAGAGGCCAGTACACAATTGTTTTGCTACTACTACGCATATTAGAGAAGTACATATGGATGATTGAATAGAGTTAAATTCTCTTAATTGAATTAATTAATTGACGGAATTAAAATTTGAATGCTATGTCTACGAACAAGTGTAAATGATGATGGTGCAATCTAATTTCCCTTTAGCTTGGCCATTTCCACATCAATGCGTTCGTCAAGCGCCCGCGTCAAGATGGTGCAGCAGTCCTTGATGGCATGGTAAATGATATTCTTGATCTGCAGCTTGTCCTCGTGGTTGGTGTGCGAGTGCGAGAGGCGCCGGAACTCGTGCGTTAGATGATAGCAGTGAGTGATGTTCTCCGGCGAGACAAAGTCCTCGGCCACCTTGATGCAGTTGTGCAGGTTCTGGACCTGATGCGGTGCCCCGGCGGGTATGAAGACAGCATCGCCCAGGCACTGGACAATGGGATGACCCTCCACACCGTATTCCTTGAACAAACGGGCCCGCAACTTGTCGTCCAGATACCAGTTCTGATCGTGTATCGGATCGTGATCGGGCTCCAGGCGGAAGCCCTTCTCCAGCGTCACGCGATTGAGCAGATCGCGTATTTTGTCGGCATCGCGAGCCGGGAAGATGTGCCACAGCGCTCCGGGCAGCACCTCGGGGGACTGGCAGCGAGCACGGGTGATATAATCGCATCCGCCCAAGGCAATAGCTTTCTGTGTGGCCGCCAGCTGGGGCTTGCTATCCTCGTCCTGGGGTATTCCGACGTAGACCATTATATTAACGGCATCCGAGATGTCCAGATGGAGGTTGGTCGTTCCCTTGTCGGGATGCAGGGCCGATCCGTACGCGTTGTACATCTTGGGGCCCAGATCGGGCGGCACAAACATCTTGGGCAGGCAGCTGGCAATGTTCAGATTGCCCGTCCGCAACGTGTACTCCGGCATTGGCAGTCCCTGCATGAGATCTGCAAACCGAGTGGGCAGTATTTCGGCAAAATCATCACCCGGTGGCCAGTCCTTCAGCTTAAGCAGCATGGGCTTGCCATTGGCGTCCAGCAGACGCTTGCTCATGCACTGGAATCCCTCCCAGAAGTGCCGCATGGGCTGATTGGGCACCAGATTGCCATTGAGGCAGTTGATCAAATCGTTTGGCTTGTCGCCAAAGTCCCGGCAGAAGGCCTCCGGATGCCACAGATCCAGGTTCAAAGAGCGAGCCACCTCTGAGATCATGACGGGCTGGCCACACTTCCACACCTCCTGGTAGAGCACACGATTGTCCGGATGCATGGCATCCGTGAGCCTCAAGAGCTTGCCATCGCACAGCCATTCGTGGGGCACGCCCGGAGCCAGCTGCGTGGAATGGGCCAGGGTCATGGCTCTCGGTGGCAGAAACCTCCTAAGACCGGCCAGACCCTTCCGCAGAAAGTTTATGTGCTTGAAGTTATCGAACGCACTCGTGATTGGATCTTTTCCGAGGGTCTCTTTGGTCCAGACCCGACCCGGGACGTAGTCTATGCCTCGTTCCCGGGCGAATTCTAGCTTCTTGGAGTGCAGCTGCTCCAGCCTCTGCTGCTGGTGCAGTTTCTGCTCGGTGGCCAGCGAGGAGAAGCTTGTGTGCTGCTTCAGTTGCGACTCCTTGATCATGTCCTGAATGAAGGCGTTCAACTGGGGGTCCTTCACCTCCTGCTTGCTCAGCAGGCAGCCGCAGACCTGCGGCACCTGCCACAGGGTGCGCACCTCGTGCAGCAGCCTGCCCAAAACGTTCAGCGCATCGCCGGCAATGATCTGCGTCAGCATCAGCTCGGTCATGGCATGCTGCTGCGGACCACTGGGATCGGTGCAGAGCCCCCAGTGATATTCGTCGCAACCCTTCTGCAGGGCTGTCTCTACGCGCCGCAAGCGCTGCCCCTCCTTTCTGTCCTTGAAGCAGTCCAGGCACACGCCAAAGCCGCACTTGCGACAAGTCCAGTGATAGTTAAACAGCGTCGTGTCGCACACATCGCAGATTTCTCGAATGCCTTTTACAGCCTTTTTCCAGGCGATGGTCCCATCTGGATTCTCGTGCAGCTTCAGAGCCTCCGCCTCCTGCCGCCACAGATAGCAGAACTGATCGCCCGCATGTAGGAGTATGTATCGGCACACTTGTATGTCCATGAAGCCACTGGTGGGCGCGGTCGTGCCATCCGGCTGCCAAATGCTGTAATCCTCCTTTGTGGGCTCGATGTAGGGATTCGGAAAACCGGCCACACTCAGCTCCCCCTTGCCGTTGTACTGCAGGCGTCGGAATTCGTAGAACCTGCAATAGACATCGTTGCTGGTGGCATCACTCTCGCTGGGGGAGGGCGTCACATGTCGCTTGCGGCATTCGCGACACTTGGGTACCTCCGCTACCGTTGTATCCCCAGTGGGTTGTTCCTGCTGCAACTTAAAGCAGGGCAGATCCTGCAAGAAGATGGAGCAACTTTCCCGGTACTGCTTATGTCGGAGCTCCTCGTCGTCCGTCAACAGGGCTGCTGCTTGACTACTGCTGGTTCCTGGTTCCTGCTCTTGGTCCTGATTTAGCTTCGCCTCTGGACTTCCATTTCCGTTTCCAGTCTGCGCCTCCAAGCAAGCTTTCTTTGTCTTGTTCTCATTTGAGATGTGTATCTCAATAATCGATTTCGGATCCGATCGTAGGGAGAGAGAGCTCGATGGGGATATTGTGCGCTTGCGGGTCGCGGTGACAGCAGTTTGTGCAGCAGGGGCCGCCGCTGCCAGTTCGTTCTGTGACATTTTGTGTGTCTCTCTGGCCTTCGAAAAGGAAGAAAAGGAAGGAAGAAAAAGAGGGTGGGTTGAGCTTTTCGGTTTCTTTCTGGCCCTTCTTTTTCCCCTCTGCACTGGTAATGCATCTCGTGTGAAGTGGCTGATGCTGCGTGCTCCTCCATGCTCCGTGCTCCCGATCTTCTTTGCTTTGCTTTTCTTGTTTATCTTTATTTTTATTTTGCTTGCCATTTTGTCTTTTCTTGATATGGATTTTGTCTTCTGTTTAACACTTTTTCGCCGTGGTTGCAGCGGTTGCAGGCTGCAACTGCTTTGCTTTTCCGGTAATGTGGCGGACAACTTTCGTTGGCTTTTCTTCGTCAATGCACAAGCACATCTTACGTGAATGAATCGAGCAGAGAGCTTCAAGAGAATACAGCACAACTACTCACTGCCTCCACATTACCTTGCGCAGAGGAGAGCCTTACTTAAACAATACGTAGCATGCGCAGAGGATAATGTTATGTTATTCAAGTCACTTAAGTCATATGTATCCAAGAAGCTAGGATATTTTGATAAGACGCGACAATAAACGTCGGTAATAAATTTACCCTGTAATAATAAACTACGCCACAAATTGGGAATGTGGGCGTCACATTCTGTATGCCGATAGAGCTTATTCTATACACCCCTTTCAATAACAGTATGAGTATGTACAGTGCACGTCCGATAGAGTAATGAATTTTGCATTGGGGAGCAGCTAAGAAGGCACAGAAAGAAGAGAGCATTAATGTGCCCACCGCTTGCACAGGACCCTCCATATTTTGTCACTCTTTTGATCTTTTGCCCTAAAAACCATTTTCTTCTGTGTTAAGTACTTAAAACCCTGTTCGCTACAATCAATCAATTGCCCTGAAAAACCAAAAAATGTCTGTCTATGAAGCGCTCACTGTACAGCAAAATGATATACGTATGATTCCTCTATATTTTTTGTTATTTTTAGGATGAGCGTGATAATCAAATCGAAGGCGAAACATAGTCAAAAAGGTTATCGAATGATATCTGGAGGGGCTCTGGATCTTAACAGCTCTGTTAACGTTAACCCTAACATGCCAATTAACAGAAGCAACAAGTGTCGCTGGACAGCCAGACAGACGGAAATTCCGAGCCTGCGGCTAGTGCCTACCAATTATATGGCCATATAATTGAGTGGACATCGGGAAATTGACCCTGGATGACACAAGAACAGCCCTCACGTCCGTATGTACGCACAAAAGCGAAACAACACACGAACGTACGTATACGGGCGGGCGAGCAGGCTTGTTTGTGTTTTTGGGCGTTCACCGCACAGCCAGCACAGAAGTCTTACGAAACAAGGCGAAAGAGAAATGGGGAAAAACATGAGAAGCGACGAAAGAAAACCCTACAAGCGACTCGCTCTCCACACCTCTTCCCCCTTTCTCAAATTGATCAATCAATTCACTTTCTGGGCGCTTTATTTATGCCTGACCTTTTAATTCAATGAAAGCCTGCGCTTTATATAACGCCACCACTGCAATCAATAAACCGTAGGGAACAATGGAAAACACGCACGACGAGCATCGAACTTTAAATTTTACTGGGGAGTTTACCCAAGCCGTCTGATAACGCCGACTCCAGATAAATATTTGTGTACGGGTACGGGACTAGGGCTCTGCTACTATTCTGAGGCGCTGTGCGACTGCACGGCAACACTGGCGGATTACTACATCGCTCTAGATTTGTTTTTTTTCTTCAATGAATTTGTTTTTGCTCGGCCTTTAGGTGCACATTCCATGATTTCGGTCTGTTAAAGAACAATTAATAAGCACTTTGGTCACCAGGAAACACATTTGCTGCAATTTAGAATCGCTGCCATTGTTGCATTTTTATCAATTTAAATTTGTGTACTGAACTTTACAAACACCATCACATCACACTCACTCACGCACGCACACACCTACATAGAAAACTTGGCGTTCCTGCATACCAAATGGATAGAACCAACAAGCTACTTTTCGCCAGCTAATTTATACGCTTAGGAGAGTAAATAGCAACTTACATTTACTTAAAACATGTTGGGAAAACACTCGGGGCTTACTTTTATAAAACTCTACTTTTTAATATAACTCTTCGCCAAGACCAAAACATAGGAGCGGAGCAGCGTGACCGTGACGACAACGATAAAAAATAACATCCGGCCAAAAAATAAATACCATTAAATACCATTTCAGTTTCGAGAAATACCATTTAAATACCATAAATTTAAAACATTAATTTCAAGTGTTTTGTCTATTCCATAATTGTGATATTCAGATTAATATTACAAGCTAGTTGGCCCTTTCAGCCCTAAGCAAATAATTTTATCCGATTCCTCAATCAATTTTGTTCAGAATTGGCTAGTTTTCAGAACTCTTTTTCATTGGATTGTTTACATAATAAGGTTCAAACAAAAACGGCCAAAGCATAAAACGTAAATGTTGACTAAATGTGACGTCATTGTTGCTTGTCAACCACGTTTCTTCTATACGTCCATACGCATATTGTATACCATATTTCCTTTATTTGATGTTAAATTTGTTGTTCCAAGCTGCTTTGAAATATTAATATGGAATTTTTCTTAGATTGAGATGTAGTTTACCTATTAATGCATATATTTTGTGTTATATAAATAGATTTATCCCGGTTCTGATACCTATTATTGGTACCCGTGAGCTACAAAATTTCGTTAATATCTTTAAAACAGAGTAGTTTCTGCATTAATTGGAGCCTGAAATTACCAACAATATCTCTTTTCTATAATATCTATTTTCCCAAGGTATTAAAATTTGTTGCTCATTTCGTGCCAAAGTTGCACAACAATTAGCAGCAATTAATTTCCCCATGTTGCTGTAATTTTTCCCATACAAAATCAAATGTATCTTACGGGCGGTAAGAACGCAATGACCCCCCCCCCGAGGTGAAGGACGTCAGATTGGTAAAGGACCTACCAGCAATTAATGGGGCAACCCGTCTGAATCGTGCGCCCTAGAGCTTGCGGAGATGCAACAGCTACAAGGAGGTCGGAAAATTCGACGCTTTCCGAAATTATTTATGATGATAAACGCATTCCTTAATATTCGTCCTTGAAGGACATGCCATGTATCGCATGAAAGGTATTAATTCATAGTCAGGAATATGTATAAATTTATGATAGTACACCACTTAGTTCAAAGGATAATCAATTTAACTTTTATTTTGATCTTAAATAAAAGTTATGGAATAACCTTATTTCAACTTTAAAATAAAAATAAGGAAAAAAAACAAAATAACTATATTTGAATTAAAATATAAATTAAAAATAACCTACTTATAATTGTATTGAAATAATTATAAATAGGTGTTATTCGTAACTTTATATAATAAAGTTGGAAATAACTTACATTGCAATTTATTTAAAACTTATAACAATTACCGGGAATATATGTACATATAAAACAAAACAACTGAAGAATGTAGATTTATGTTCCAGAAGGTGTTTAACGTGTTTATGCAATTCACTAGAGAACAAAGGAAAACAAAACACTTTAAAATATTGAAATCAATAGGAAAGTACTACAACACAATATTCAATCGATCAAGGCGTAAAATGCGGCAACAACACCCCCCCGGCACATGAGCGTAGAAACAAACAACAAGCCGGCCCCGCGCGCCCCCGGCGTCGCGGCCCCCCCCCCCGGCGAACGCGACCAAGAAGCACAAAAAACGGCAGTGGATAGTGGAAAATGCGGCTACCAAAGAGACACGTATGAAATGTTAAATGCATACACGTGAAACAAGTAGCGAGAATCAAAAAAAAACCAACCCAGGAGCCAAAAACCCCCAACCAAAAAAGAACCACAGAAACAAAACCCCCAATCTTGATATCAGTCCGGAAAAATCGTTAATGGTATTATAAAGAACAAGCTGGAAAGATACATAAGTGAAAATTATATACTATCATACAGATCTTATGCATACCAGAAAAATAAATCTGCTTCGATGTGCATCAACGTAATTAACGTTATTGCATCATGAAAGACGGCGGCGTCGCCGGGCGCCCCACCCGCCGCGAAAAAAAAGTCGTTGATGTGTCTCAAGTGTGTAGTTAACGTGTAAAAAAGAGACATTTTTGTTGATCTTCTTTGTTGAAACCTTATCATAAAAATAAACCAGATTGTAGAAAATTCAATCATCTATCTCATAAATGATATGTTAGGTGGTTGGAGTCCTAACTAGCTAGTAATATTAAATCGAGTATAAAAATTGAGGAACGGGGATATTTGCATGAGTCACAAAATTGATCGGGAGCCTTATAGGGTGGGCTGCGCAGCTTCTTTGCGTCTGGCGACGCACATAGAAACCCGGTGGCAAAAACCGCCACTTCTTTTCGCTTAACTGCACTTTTTGCTTTGCAACCCTGACCGGAAAAGGTGAAATAAACATAAAATCATGAAACAAAAACTTGAAACGTTGTATTATTATCATAAGAAATTTTTCCCCTGATGCCATTATGACACTGCTGGAGGAACTTCGATGGTTTTCATAATTTTAAGAAGACTCCCACAAGCTCTACAAAGAAATGTTAATAAATAAATTGGCCCCCCCCCCCCCCCCCCCCCCCCCCCCGTAAGAATAGTCAAACGATCGAAAGTTTTGGAAAAAAAAATCGATACTATCGTGATAGTATCGGGCTGAAATAATTATTAAAAAACCATTGAAACCTTTTAGGAACTTGTCCATTGTAAAAATTAGATACCACCTGTCGATTTTTTTTACAAATTTTTCTTCGTATTTTATAGCAGCCAATCCAAACATATCTAAAGCGCAACGACCGATACCGATACCGATATCGATACCTCTACTTAGAACCGAAAAAATGTCTGCTACTTTAATAAAATGTTTAAATTTGGCTAAAACTGTGAGAACATCTACGATAAAAAGTCTTATAACTGCTCCAAAGCAGCAATGGCAGACCTTGTGGTGGGTTTGAGCAGTACAAGTGGTTTTATTGAAGCAATATTTGCATGCGCTCATCTTTGTTTTTATGTAATACGTAGTGCTGCCGCTCTCCAAACGCCGCCGTTTCAGCATGCTCAAATGGTGCACACCAGTCCGATGCGGCATGGTCTGATGGAATTCTTCGATGATCCCAAGCATTGGAGCGAGAACGATGTAAAGGTGGGACGGGCCTGGAGGACGGAGGAGCTGCGCATCAAATCCAACAAGGAGCTGCATCAGCTCTGGTTTATATTGCTGAAGGAACGGAATATGCTTCTTACCATGGAGCATGAATGCAATGACAAAATGGAGATCTTTCCCAGCCCCGAGCGAGTTGATAAGGCAACTAACTAACAACTAACATTTATATGGTAGGCATGTAAACAATAATGTGCCATTTATTCGTAGGTGAAAATTTCCATGGAAAATCTTGAGAAAGTGGTGAGGGAACGGAACACGGCTTATCATTTGCTGGAAACAGGTGAAACAGGCGAACGACCCCAGAAGAGGGTAAACAACGCGTTTGGCTTGCAGTTTAACTACAAATCCTGCGAGCATGTCTTGCCACCCTTCATGAACCTCAAATGGATCAAATCCCGCAACATTGGGTTTGGCGGCAGGGCCGTGAATAGATTTCTGCTCAAATACCGCGAGCAGCTTTACAATTCCAAGCGCAAGGCTAAGAAGTATGTCCTGAATGGCTAACATAAAATGATATCTAACTGTGTTTGCTTTTTTTTAGCCGCTCTCGCAACGAGGTAATGATGATTCTACGCCGCAATCCAAACTTTGATCTGGGAGTGTTGCGCCGTAAGTTCCCCGATGTGGATGTCGACAAACTTCGCAGTGCGGATAAGGCCCGAGGGCACTATGTACCGAAGGTTGGCGTCTAACTTTGCAGCATTTTCAGTTATTTAGTCATTAAATCGAAAAAAATACTACATATATAAATAAGCTGAATTTTAATCTTCGTCAAATTTAATTTTAGTTCCCTGGAAGGCGGCTATTTTTGGCTTCCACTTTTGTTTGGCAATCCAAGAGGGATGCATGCCTTCCATCGAAGTGGGAATAGGAGCGGATGCAGGAGCAGAAGCATGATTCTTGACAGCTGGAAGATCAATTTGTGCGGCTTGTCCGTCATCGCCAAACTTGATCTTTTTGCCCTTAAACTGCCCAATAACTGGTTTCTGTTGCTGCTTGGCTATCCAGGATGGATGGAACTCATCAGTGGGTTTCTTGTTATTGATCTCTGGCCTCCGCTCTCCCCGGTTGTCACTATGTCGGAGCTCGTTGCGCGGACGCTTGGCAGGGTGAGGCGTCGGCTCTTGCTCGTTATCGCTCTCATTGTTGTCTGAATGAACAACAGCGGTGGATAAATACGGCTGACCAGATTCTGTGATGAAAAATGGATCTATGACATGCGTTGGACGATCTTTCTCAGCCTTGGTCTCCTTTTCAATGCTCGGCTCCTTCTCTGGTTCTCGCTCGCGTGTCTTTTCTTTGATGTCAATGGGTTTTGGGTTAATTTCGGGCTTCTTATCCTTTTGCGGTTGCTTCTTTTCCCGAAGCTTTGGCTTCTCTTTCTTCACAGAGGTCAATTTAGGATTACGCAGAGGCTTTTCTTGTTTGGGTTTCTGTTTCTTTTCTTTCGCTGCTTCTACCTCGCTAACCGCCGACTCTGTCGCTGGCAATACATCTGTTTCTGCTACCACATCAGTTCCACCCACAGCTTCCACTTTGTTCTGTTCCAACCATTCTAGTCGATTGCGCGTCTGGGCCTTCTGCTCTTTGAGTTCCTTGCGTTGTCTCTTCTTCGTCTCAGTGCGTTCTAGCTTCACGCGTCTCTTGCTCGTTTCCAAAATCTCTTCACGCCACTTGGAATCCTTATCACTCTCCAGGCCCAAAGTTTGTCGAAATGTGTCAAGCAGCGCTTTAATCAGTTTGTTGAGCGCCAGCATTGCAAGAACCACCTCATCTGGAGTTGAACGGCCATTGGTGAGTACAGCGTTGGGATTTTTGCCATCCTGTAGGAGCAGCTGCCGCATAATGTCAAGACTCTTCAAAGCCTTCAGCTGGGCCACACATTCGCTGCTTTTGCGCAAGCGCTGCTTGTGTTTCTCATTCTCCGGATGTTTTGCCAGGACATCTTTGACCTTCCTAAGCTTCTGAACGAGCTTGGAAACCGTTTGCGCACGTGCTTGCTGGATGACTTTCTTGTTGGTAATTACCTGCGTATACGTACGGAGTAATAATTATAAAATAATAAGTATTTTTCCATTTATTTACCAAATTATTGAATTTCAGTTTATCAAGCATGGTGCTCAGTGTGACTGACTCTCAGAAATATACCTTCCACACAATTTCGACGTCAAAATATACCGAAAACAATAAAATACTAGTTCCGTTCACAGTTTTGGTTCAGCTTCCGCATTTTAGTATTTCTAGTTTATTTTAAGACGCGTTATGGACTCACACTCCTGGCCAACGCACCAATGTATAAATCGTGTAGAATTAAACCTTATTTTATGAATAATCAAATTAAAACGAATGCTTAAAATAAGCAAATCTTGTTATAAATTATTTAATTTATCCTATACAATTGTATGATCAGTGCTGAAGGCTCTAGCTAAATAGAAATCTTAAGCCGAATATCAAAATCGAGGAATATCAACGCAATCACCGATGGCAGAGCTGTCAGTGCGTACTGTCACAAAAACCACGGCAATTTAATGTTTTCATTCTGTCTAAAATAATGATCCGATCTGATCCAGATTCGGCAACCTGGTAGATATGGCCATTCTTAACGATTTTACGTTTTCGGGTTTCTCGTATTTTCAAAGCCGGGTATGCAAAATTGTTTGTTTCGCGGTATATTTACAGTATATTTTGAAAATAAGAAGGTACTTTTTGGTATATTTCTGAGGGTCAGACGGTATACTTGATCGATAAATCCGCGGTCACACTGAGCTGCAGAAATAAGTTACGAATTTATTGTTTTCTTTTAATGTAAATTGCAACTAAACCCAGTTATTAAAAGTCGTGTAATTGCCCGAAGTTGCGTTAAACCGTAATTTGTGACCCCGACACGTGCCAAGTGAATGTGTTGTGCGGTGCCGCGACCGCAAACTCGACAGACGCAAAGAAGAAAAACAAGGAGGAGCTAATAGAGAAGGCAGCAACAAAGAAGGTTTGCATTTGTGCAGCCCCGGCAGGAAAAAATCAGAACAACAACGATCAAAGCAGTGTTCTGCATTAATTAACTGCTTTTTAATTAATAAAAATGTGCGATTCCCATCAATATCCAAATCGTGACGATGCCGATGCTCGGACGCATGAAAATTAATATTCATAAAGAACCTGAGGGCTGCAACGCGCTTGAGTCATTGATCTCTTTTATTGTGTCTGTGTGCATACTACCTACAGTGGCGGAAAACAGTCTGAGTGCGACCCCCCATTTTTCAATCTCCTGCGTGATTTTTTTTCCACCTGGAGCGGGTTATTGCGGGGCCTGAATGGATTATTATAATTATAAATATACTTTGGGAAGTGTTTGGGATACGTATACATATGTATGTACATAGGTGTGATGGGTCAAAACTGAAATCTCCGCTTTATTGCTGGTGCAAACTGCTCATTTTCTTTAGTTGAACAGTTTGTTATTTTCACAAATGCAATACAAACTTAATTATAGCTTTTCCTCCTTTTTGTTTTCTCTGATAAATGTTTTTAGTTGGCATCTGGAACATAGTTTTTTCAAAATGGGGTCGTGCCTATACATTTGTCCGTCACTGTATGCATCTGTGATAGAATAATATGGAAGCCAAGCGGATTTCGTCTTGCATTAATTTGTGCCTAATTATGCGTTTAATTTATTTTAATCATTTTTAATTATTAATTTACTTTACTTCCAGCCCAGGGGAGACATCCACACGCATTCTAAGACACACGCACCCCCAAAGACTGCAGCTGCGGGTTTTTGTACCAGCGCACTACGTTGATCGCTAGACACAACGGCTAATCAAAAGCGGAATACAAATGACGGAATACAAATTGGTTGTTGTTGGTGCGGGAGGCGTTGGGAAATCAGCGTTGACCATCCAACTAATTCAGAATCATTTTGTTGACGAATACGATCCGACCATCGAGGACTCGTACCGAAAGCAAGTGGTCATTGGTTAGTATTTTACATCACTGAATAGAGGCAGAGTCCAACCTTGTGTGACATGTTCTCTGATTGATAACTCTGTTTTTGCAGATGGAGAAACCTGCCTTTTGGACATCTTGGACACCGCTGGACAGGAAGAGTACTCGGCCATGCGGGATCAGTATATGCGCACGGGTGAGGGCTTCCTGTTAGTCTTTGCGGTAAATAGTGCAAAATCCTTCGAGGACATTGGCACATACCGCGAGCAGATCAAACGGGTCAAGGATGCCGAGGAGGTGCCTATGGTGCTTGTAGGCAATAAGTGCGACTTGACCACGTGGAACGTTAAAAACGAACAGGCAAGAGAGGTGAGTTGGTGGTCAGCCGGAGTAGTTCGTAACTCATCGCAAATCGCACCGGTAGTTCATTTCTAAACACTCTGTTTCACTTTTTGACTTCGAAGGTGGCCAAACAATACGGCATTCCATACATTGAGACATCAGCTAAGACGCGCATGGGTGTTGATGATGCATTTTACACACTGGTGCGTGAGATCCGAAAGGACAAGGACAACAAGGGGCGAAGGGGGCGTAAACTTAATAAGCCGAATCGTAGATTTAAATGTAAAATGCTCTAAACGGGCTCGAAGTGGTTTTATTAACTTTTTATTTTGTTCAATGTCGCCTGTTGTCTGTCTGTCTGTCTGTATGTATTCAGTAATGTCTTCGTGGGGCAATCGTGTCAATGGATGGTGGATGGCAGGATTGTGGATCCCCCGCGAATGCACGCTGAATGAAAGCACACACACATACACACACGTACAGAACGAAAGCACACACATTTGTATGGGGAGCGCGTTAGTCGGTGCAATTGTCAGATGAAGAGAAGAATTGTAATTAATTTAAGTAACTAGAGTTTTATGTACGTCAAAATGATTTTGTGAATGTGTGTGTTTTGTGTCGTTTGAAAGGTTGCGTGGCGCCCTTTTAAGAGTATTAACAATAACGAAAATGAAAACGAAGGAAAGCAAAACGAAATGAAATGAATATGTACCTCTCTACATATAACTATGAATACTGTTGTAACTGCCTCGGTTCAGCTGCTTTAACCATTTGTTTTCAATCACCACCAACCACTAAAACTGAAGTCAATGTCGTTTGTATTTTACCAGAGACGGAGACGGAGAATCTGATCTACTCTGAACCCCGATATACCACGATGCATGCAAGACTAGTTCTAATTACTCGTAATTCCTTGAGCTCTGTTGTCAATGGTTTTGTTTTCATGATTTTAGCGTAGCCCGTCTTCTGATTCAAGTTTTCTCACACATACGCACGAACAGAATTCCATTAGTATTTTTCACTATTAAAGAACAAACAAAACATGAAAAACGGTACAGCAATTTTCGCACAAACGAGCAGATTTGCTTGTCTTTGCTGCCCAAACTAAATAAATTTATGTTCATTAAACACAATCAATTGTTGTGGTGCTATGATGCAAACATTTTATTCATATGAGTTGTTCTTGGAAAGCCTTTCTTTCTACCTACCTTATTGACAGATCAATCGAAGATAAAACAAGCAGCCAATTAAATTTACATTATATAGTTTGCTTTAAGCTTTTTATACATACATTTAATATTTAATTTTTTTGTATTAATTTTTGCCATACAAAAAGGAACGAAATAAAACGATTGTGTGTACTATTTAAACTGAGATATCGCTGTTGGTAGTGGTTTTTACTGAAATATATTTAAATGACAAACTGGCATCTGGAATATATTTGAAATAACCGGTAAATATCGACTGCATTGACTAGATCTGGGTAATTTCAAAGATCGAAGTTGAATAATATATCGAATGGATCGAATACCAGTCCGTTATAGGCTAAAACTAGCCAATCTTGTAGAAAATTGATACATGACGTTCTGAAAGTTCTAGCTAGCTAGTTATATTAAACCGAACATCAAAATCGAGAAATATGATATCCGATCATGGACAAAGCACGAATAACCCACTGTCGACATTTCAAAATGACCGCCAAAATCAATTTTCGCACTAAAATACCTACATTTTTCGGGAGAGTAATCGTGGTGGATTTTATAAATTCTTTTTTAAGCTCTCTTTTTTTTCTCTATTTCGAGGTGATATTCGCTTATTTTCGTGGTGTGAGCAGCATATTTCTAACGGGAACGTAGCAACAATGAATCTACTTCATCGTATGATATTAATGATATGATTTTAAAAATGATCATTGGATATTTTTGTGGTACTCAGCGGCCTTGTGAAGAAAAATAGTGGGCTATTGCCCATGGTCGCGCGAACAAGACCAGGACATTTCTGTCTCTTGGCAGGTATACTTTCAAGGTTCCCACTTCAATACCTAGCTTTCTCTGATCACAAAAATAAAGTTTTCTAAAAACAGGAACGCTGGAATGGGCTTGGTTTGGCTCATTTTTAACCAAAAAATTGCATATCAAATACATGTAAAACTTAAGTAAGTATTAGCTTAAAGTAATAGTAAAAATAGTCCGTGGAGGGAGGAAATTCTCCGAATCTCTCCAGCTTTTAGCTGTTGACATTTCCTTAAAATAAGCCAGATTGTAGAAAATTGATTCATCTATCTGATAAAATGATATTTTCAGTTGTTATAGTCCTAACTAGCTAGTAATACTAAATCGAATATCAAAATTGATGAATATGATTTTCCTCGGTATATTTTGAAAATGAGACGGTATGTTTCTGAGGGTCTGACGGTATATTTTGTCGATAAGTCCGCGGTCACACTGAACAAACAAGCCGTGCAAAAAAATTGTGCGTTTTATTGATTAGTTTTTGGCTCGATATAGCCAAGTACTTGCTTAAATTACTAGACCAAAAGAAAAGCAACGTTTTGTTCGAGTTCCTCCAATAAACCCATCAGAAAGGTAAACTATGTAAACAATAAGCAAAGCAAATTTCCTTGGAGCCGGTCGCCATTTTGTTTTTCCCGACGCCGCTGCCGAAAAATTGTTCTGTACATGACGAAGAAATAAATGGTTTATTAAATTTACAGTCCCACAGCCATGAATATGGATGCGAACAATGCCGTGGAGAATCGGGAAAAGGAACGTGATCGTCGCGGGCGGGGCGCACGGGGATCTCGGTTCTCTGATGCCGATGGAAATGGAAATGCCGGTGGCGGCGGCAATATTGGTGGCGGGGGCGGAGGTGGCGGCGGCAACAATGTCCGAGACAGAAGCCGCGAACGTCGCAATTGCCGAGTGTACATCTCCAATATTCCCTACGACTATCGGTGGCAAGACCTGAAGGATTTGTTCCGACGCATTGTCGGCTCCATTGAGTACGTGCAGCTGTTCCACGACGAGAGCGGGAAGGCACGCGGCTGCGGCATTGTCGAGTTCAAAGACCCCGAAAACGTGCAAAAAGCCATGGAAAAGATGAATCGATATGAGGTCAACGGCCGTGAGTTAGTCGTCAAGGAGGATCACGGCGAGCAGCGCGATCAGTACGGAAGGATTGTCCGTGATGGCGCCGGCGGTGGCGGGAATGTCGGAGGCGGTGGCGGAGGAGGAGGAGGCAACAACGGCGGTGGCGGTGGTGGTGGAGGAGGCGGCGGCGGTGGTCGTGACCACATGGATGACCGGGACCGTGGCGGCTTCTCCAGACGCGACGATGACAGATTGTGAGTACTTTATGTGTTCGTCTATCTCTATTGTTTTTCTCGATGTTCTAAGCAGGAAAGCAAGGTTCGTAGCACGCAAAAAGTATTGAATCCTTACACACTTCTCAATCGGCAGTCGTTTCTATGAAGGCAAATCAATCGAATCGTATCAATCTGCAGAAGCGGTTTTTCTATCTACCTACGAGTACGAGTACTAAAAGGATACTTCCCATAATTCGTAATTCGTCGAGCGTAGGCTCTAGGAAGAACTCTTATCATTTATTTATCTGCAATACAATTGAAAAACTGTACACTAGGATCTTTAAAATACCAAATACTCTTAAAATATCTGCCACGTATGAAAAACTGTTCATTAAAGGGATTTGCGGATTTATCTGTCGAGCGTAGGTAGTAGGATCTTTTACTTGCCAGAAACGAGTACGAGTATCTGCTATGAATACTCACTGAAAAGAGTTCCATTTCCCATAAATCTGTTCAGCTTAGGCTCTAGAATATGCTACCTACCCTTGAAAGGATTCTAAACTGAAAAAAGTATGCCATAGGATTCCATGAACAGTTGTGCATTTCAAGGATTTCCATATTGGTCGAGCGTAGGCTGGTAGTTTTTGTATCTTTCATGATTGCAGTATTTCAACCGCATTGTGGCTCAAATCGTACTTATTATTCGAAGGGAGGAATTATTTTTGTTCTATTTCTATTCGAAGTAGGAGTAGGCTGACGGATGCTCGAGACATTGATTAAGTGAAGCGCATAAAGCGTGAAGATAGTCGTCTATTAGCAGTGCTACCGTAAAATTATATTGATACCTAGATGATTGCAATTGAATCGCATTCACGCGCAAAGCGAAGTTAAATTTTCAATGTAAGAGTTTTTATATGATGATTGGGCAACCAGTGAATTAATCAGTAAATATCTGTAGTTGATTTTGTATTTGCACTTAATTGTATGGGCTGATTCAGTATTTAATTTTTTGATCGAGTATAGTCATCCAAAGAAAGATACTTTATAAAAAGTATATGGAATTATATGCAACATTGTCTCGTCTGTTCGTATGCTATATACTAAAATAAACATACACTTCAGTAGGCTCGGCATGTAAACATTCTGTTAGGTAGTGTGGGACGGAGAAGGAAGGACTTGCAAATAGATATACATTTACATTTACGGAGTCTTCGGAATCTTCTGCTCGGCTGAATTTGTTTTTAGAAATGTGTGTGGGCGAAAGGAAAGAATAGACAACATTTACAACATCAGTTCATAATTATTTTCCATCATTTCCAAAGATGCTATCAACTTAAGATTTGTGTGTGATGCGGTGCAATGTGTGACAAAAGAATATGGGAATGAAGGAAGGAAGGTAACAAACAACTTTTAGACGTCTGCAATCGTGCCGGCTTTCTTGGCATCTCTCTCATTCTGTCGTAGCTGAAGCTTATTTTTGCTATCCTTTTGTTATTTTTCTCTCTGGATCTTTGGCTTCTTTTTCTAGATCTGGGCGTAATAATTTTAACATGATGTCAAATGATTATAATAATTCGTCGAATTACAATTTGTATGGGCTTTCTGCTTCGTTTTTGGAGAGTCTGGGCATAAGTGGACCTTTGCATAATAAGGTTTTTGTTGCTAATGTGAGTATATAGTAATTTTAATTTCCAATAATTCCAATATGTATTCTGTAATCGACTGTACCCGAACCGAACCACAAAAGTTGTGCGTAATGTGCTGTGCTGTGCTGTGCATATCGAATTTTCTTCATGGGGTCTCGTCTGTTTCGTATTTATAACCCACCCAAGTCTAGGCCTAATTTTTTGGGGCTCTGTTTATGTTTCTTGCTCCTTGTACTGCTGCTGCAAAATTAAAAATAACTGAAGACTGCAACCCTTAGATCCCTTAGATCCCACAGTTGGGGTGTTTCCAAACTGCTGAAGAAATTGTCGTTCTGGATCATACTTGCGCATAGACTATTGGATAAAACTGAATAGGAGTACGATGTCTTCATTCGAATTTTGGTGTCTGCAAAAAATTGTATTTAAAAAAAAAAAAGAGAGTAATTTGAGATTCTCTTTACCCTACAAAAGAGCGGCGTCATTGCTGCGCTGCCCCCAACAAATTTCGTTTTTCCAAATCCACATTTAAAGATCTGTTTTATAATTACTGGGCTCTTTGAATCAACCTCTGTCCTCTGTCAATGTTCTATAGACAAAAAGGTAAAGGTGTGTCCTTCGCGTGTCCTGATCCTATTCCGTCATTTTGTTCCTCAAATGGGTTATAAATATGAAGCAGTTGCGGTTCGTAGGACAGTGCAAACGTCGACGTCTTCGTCTTGGGCTATCAACTAGTTTGTTTTCAGTCAACTGGAATAGAGGCTGGAATGATTCCGTGTGGCCCTGCTCCTGCTCCTGCTCATGCTCCTGATATTGTTCTCTTTTTACAGCAAAGCTTCTCGTCTGAAAGGTCGGCTTTTGATACCATTTCAGGGGCGGAAAAAACGTACATACATGTACATTTAGATTGCACTTGACTAATTAATTTCCAACACACTCTCTTCAGCTGGACTACAAGGTGGATAACAAGAAGCTCAAGCAGGTGTTCAAGCTGGCCGGCAAAGTGCAGACCGTGGATCTATCCCTGGACAAGGAGGGTAACAGTCGCGGCTTTGCTGTGATTGAATACGATCATCCCGTGGAGGCAGTGCAGGCCATTTCCATGCTGGATCGTCAGATGCTGTTCGACAGGCGTATGACCGTGCGCCTGGATCGTATCCCGGACAAGGGTGAGGGCGTTAAACTGCCCGAGGGACTGGGCGGTGTGGGCATAGGCCTAGGTCCGAACGGAGAGCCATTGAAGGACGTCGCTCACAATCTGCCCAATGGCGGAAACCAAGGTCAGGGCCAACTGCTGGGAAATGTTCAGCAAGGCGGACAGCTGGGGTCTGTGGCTACTGGCCAGGGAGGCGGCGGCGTAAGCAATGCCAGCAATCTGCTCGGTAGCCTGACTGGAGTGATGTTCGGGAACAATTCCTCGTCCATCCAGCCATCCCCGGTGGCTCCAGTGCAGAAGCCCAATCTGGGTAACAACTCGGGCTCTGGTGGACTAAACTTGAACAATCTGAATCCCAGCCTTCTGGCCGCTGTGGTCGGCAATCTGGGAAACCAAGGAGGCAGCCTATCCAATCCTCTGCTCACTTCATCTCTTAACAATTTGGGGCTCAGCCTGGGCAACTCTGGCGGCAATGATGATCCCATTTCTTCCGGCAATGTTGGCCTGTCCAATAACTACAGTAGCGGTGGCAGTGGAGGAGGCAATAACTACAGCTCCGGCGGAAACAATAACTACAGTGGCGGCGGCGTGTCCGGCGGGAACGTTGGATATAATGCCTACAGCAGCTCTGTGGGTGTTGGGGGCGGCAATGGAGGAGGCGGTCTGGGCAACCAGCAGGACGGCAACGACTACAATACTGGCAACAATCTGGACATTTTTGGCGGCGGTAGCAATGTGGGAAATGCCAATTCTGGCGCTGGCAACGCAGGTGCCGGCTCTCGCAAATCTGACACGATTATCATCAAGAATGTGCCCATGAGCTGCACCTGGCAGACGCTGCGCGACAAGTTCCGTGAGATTGGGGATGTCAAGTTCGCCGAGATACGCGGCAATGATGTGGGTGTGGTGCGATTCTTCAAAGAGCGCGATGCCGAGCTCGCTATAGGTAAGTCTCCCGTCTCGACATTATGAACCGAAACTGCAACTAAACTAATTCTGGAATTGTCCCATCCCTTTACCCTTTGCAGCGCTCATGGATGGCTCTCGTCTGGATGGTCGCAACATTAAAGTAACATACTTTTAAGCTAGCCTACAATGTTTAAAGCGTATTTACTCTGTACTGGTTAAGCGAAAAGAACACGAAAATGAACCCCATCCGCCGGCCGCCGCATTGTTTGATGACCAATGAACGGATTTTCTTTATTCCACAAGCAATACAGCCATACAGCCACGAAACGAGACGAACGGCATCCACCACTGGATCTGATAGGAAATCTAAAATGTATCTGAGGCACAGACAGAGACAGAAAAGTTCATCCCATACATTTTTTACTCGTATAACTTTTATATATATATAAATTCATATTATTATGTACTCTAATATTAAAATAACTGACGTTCCAAAACCACAAATCCGAAGACGCAATTTTAATGTTAATTCTAAGCAATTGAATTACAGCCAATAAAACAATGCAAAATCCCATTGTTAAGCATTGCTAACAATTCACGTTAACAATTTGTGGAGTACGAATGTTATTTGAAATATTTTTTTGTACCCAAGCAGTATATGTACCAGCAGCTTGTTATTATAAGAGCGCTGAATAGATCACAAGGAATGAGATCAATAGGAGTTGGATTTTAATCCTTCAGTCCGAAGTCTGTAACAGTGTCAGCCAATTTCTCTAATATCGAATCCATCGTATCCAGGCATGGCTTTGTCTCTCTCTTAAGGGAAGTTTTTGTCGTTTCCATGCCACAGCCACTATTTACCCGACCTTTCGCTTGCTCTCCTCCTCTCAGTAAGTAAAGTTCACCCCCGAAATCGACAAAGTACTCCTACCCTCCTACCATTTGCAGCCCCACAGAAACAGAATGCATTTGCAAATGCTCAATGTGTTGACTACGACTAAAGCGTTATTTATCATGTCTGCATTTTCTTTAAGCTAACTGGCTATCATTCTGCACAGACGCGTATGTGAGTCTTAGACTCTGATGTTCAAATACAGGTGGCATAGTCGCACAACAATATTAGGCATGAGGTGGGGTACCATTTTGTGGAATAATAATGTTGAAATGTTTCTTTTTATTTATAATGGTTGCTTAATGTCTACAAGCATGGGTGACTTATATACGTTGATATTATTAGACTGTCTACGGGGCCAGGTCCATCAGGATTCCATCGCTTGTTCGGAAATGGGAAAGGTGGACGACGTTCGTGGATTTACATCGGTTTTCCTACTTCGTGGTAGCGGCTGCCGGCGCAGTCTTGAATCGTTCCAAGCGTGCGCGCGCCTTCTCAGAGTAAATGGCCTTTGACTCTGGCGAAGCTGCAGCCGTAGCTGGAGTTGAAGAAGCCTCAGCTGCTGTGCCAAAACGCTCCTTACGCTTCAGCAGCCGCTCGTCGGCCAATGTCTTTGTGGTCTTCTCGGGAACCACACAGCCAAAGCGTTCGGCGCGACGCTTAAGGGCTTCCTTTTGCTTTTCATCTGTCTCCTTGTTCCCTTTATTAGCCACGATGGATGCGCTCGAGGACTTGTTAATTGCAGTAGCAACAGAAGTTGCAATGGTGGCGGTGATGCCGAATTTCTTGGCCCGGAGGTTCAAACGTTCTTCTGCGGTTAGTTCAGTGAGTTTCTTGTCAGCGGACTTTTCGCCTTCCTTGCTTCCTCCAATTACAATAGGTATGCGCTTGGTTTTGGCTGGTGTGTCCTCTTGCGTATCCTTACTAGCTGTGGGAGCCCCGTTCTCTTTCGATGCAATGGTGGGCGTCGCTGTACTGCCTGCCGTTGTCGAGGACAGCTGAGAGTTATTTCTTTTGAGCACAATCTTCCTGGCAGGCAAGGCTGCTGCTGCACTCGTTTCCTCTTTGATGTCGCTGTGTTCGTCCAACAGCAAGTCTGGAACTATTGCAGCTAAGGGCGTGCTCACCGGGCTCTTGAGTAGCTCATCGTCATCGTGCAGCTCATCCTCCAGCAATTTGTCCTCATCTTCGTCGGCCAGGGAAACATCATCATCTATGGAGTCTGCTATGGCTAGCGATATATCACCCTCCAACAGGGCCGTCTGCAAGCGATCCTGCAATTCATTTTTGTTTCCATTTACTGGCAACCCACGCAGCTTTAGCTCGCGCTTTAAATCAGCCACCTTTGGGACGTAAGTAAACAGTTGAATTATTGTATGCTTGAGCAGGTTAACTTACCTTCATTTTGGTAACGTCGCTTTCCGGCATTTTATTCCTGGATTTTCTGTTTTGTTTTAATTTTTTACAAGAATGTGCTGTAGACAAATAGTATACAGATGGATAGTGTTGGTTCATGAACGAACGAACAGAGAAGAACTATTCACCGTAGTGAACGAACTGAATAAGCGTTATATTGTGTTCATCGTAAGTTTTGTTGTTCGTTATTTTTTGTATGGCAAATAAAATGTTTTCTAATAAATCTAAGCCTAATAACAACGGAGCAACAGAGAAATTAGTCCGAAAATTTGAGCTATAAACAAAAACGAACGAACTAAAAAAACTGCTCACGAACGAACTGATTCAGTAAATTAAACGATGATTACCCAACATTAGCTGGGTCGTTCATGAACGCTGTTATGAAGGAACTGATTCAACTTAACCCTCTTAACCGACTATTAAAAAACCTCTATATAAGTTTGCGATTGCACCTTGTACATTCCCCTTCATTTACAAATAAAATTACCCGCAGATCTTTTACCTGTACTGCTCCAAGTCCACTGGTCCAAAATTGGTAATAATTGTACTGTTCCATGATCGTAAATCATATTCCTCGATTATGATATTATGATATTACTAGCTAGCTAGGACCCTCAGCACTAAGCATATAATATTATCCGATTGAAGAATAAAACTTCTACAAGATTGGCTAATTTTAAGGACCACCCTCTTATTGGAAAAAAAAAGTTTTTAAGAAAAGCATTAAACGAATGTAAGTTCAGTTATGAGTATGGACATTTGTATACCCCATTTCATTTACTTAATGTTACAATTAACAATTTGCGACGCCACTTTGACAATAAGTAAACACTCGTATCTTAAATTTTCTCAGATGCGCGTATCAGCCACCCAGAACTGAAAGGCTTTATTTTAAAACACTCGTCTAACTTTGGATTGTGGATTGTTATTGGATCTCATAATATTTGTTTTTGTCACTTCAGCTTCGGTTGCCCCCACCCTCACCCTCATGATTTCGCCGATGCGGACGGAGACGGACCCCGTAGATAAGATATAATATATGAGTGCCGTTCAGAAATAGCACCCGTGCACCCTACACTCCACTCCACCCATCGCATACCCCGACCGGAAACGGGAAATGGAAACGCAATGCAATATTATCATTTGTCGCCTGATTCTGCTGCTATTCTTAATCCCTGTCCCTTCAGCGAATCGGATTCGGATTCGTTGTGTCTGGCGCTGGAGACACTGTTGCATGGCCTTGAGGAGCAGTGCAGTTTTCTCGCTGAGGTTGAATTGTTCTCCAAGTACTCCTAGTGGCTGGCTGCACCTGCTGGCTCTCCGGTAGGTAACATCTACCCTCTCTCCTTTTCTCCTCTTGTTCTCTCCATCCCCATCCCCACTCTCAGTGTTTCTCCGTCCCGACTGCACACATGGTGCTCAGATGCTGGCGTAAGTAAGTTCGAGTGGCTGTCCCTAATTGGCACTGCTGCACATTCATATTTATTAATAATTTTCCATCACTTCTCTTTGCTCTGACCGCCAGGCTTCGAGGTCGCAGCCTTTGTCACTTAACCCTTGTGCCTCTAAAGAGTGGCACGGTCAGTGCAGTGGTACTTCTAATTAATGTAATGCTCCCAGTCAACGTGTTTCCTAATTGAACTCATTTGCCGCCGTTCCACATAATAAACGCCACTATTTTGGTCATACTCGTGGACGGACAAGCCAAGCCAAGTATGGGGTTCTTAGCTTTAATTACAGTTACACCGCCCGCCCGTCACACACGCACTAGCGGGAAAATGTCGTTGATTAATGGCTTATGACAGATATTTGAGTTTGGGCCTGGACAGAGCACTGCAGAGGTATTACGCAAGCGGATTTGGAGTTAAATATGGCTTACTCTGCGGGCTCTCTGAAAATATACTCGTACATTACGATGTTGCCAGCAATTTGGCAAATTTGATATACATACATACAAACATAGTTCTGAACATCCCATATGTTCAGTTCCCTTGAATTGCTTACTGTCGATCCTTGTTAATGCTAAAAATCATTATTGCAAAGTATCTCATCTCAACTCTGTTCTGGGTGTAAACAATGACTAATTGATAAGTGTAATCGGCTGATAAACTCTTATTTCGAGTAACACTTTACCTCTCTCTCTCTCTCTCTCTCTCTCTCTCTCTCTCAGCACTTCTTAGAAGCCCGCCCACAACCAACACAAAAGAGGAACGAAGACTCTTATCGCAGGCCTAAAGCATTCTGTTCGCTCCCGCTCTGGCCAGGCCAGGCCAGGCCAGCTGATAAAACGAAAAAGCCCCACAAAAAAGAGGCAGGGCAGGCCAGAGAGCCGAGCCGAGCCACTGAAGCAACTGGTTCTCTATTTGTGGCGTCGTATCCGTCAGATACAAAAACTGCTTCTCAGATGCCTGGCGACTGCACTAGTGATCGGTTGTGTTGTGGTTTTGCTCTTCGTTTGTTGTTTCGCTCTCGTTCGCGCCGCTGTTTGTACGCCCAATCTGCACCTCCTCCGCCCGTTGGCTGCGATCACTTCGGACGTCACCGCCAGACGTGTCGCGTCGCTCGATTGATTATTGCAAAAAACAAGAAAAGCTTCGAGTACGTCGTATCTAAAAGTACGTGTCTGTGCAAAGTTATACGCATGTGAAATAATGTTCACTTCGGATGCAGCTTGTCCAAAAACAAAGTTTACATCACACGATATTATATTCGAAATTAACAGCCTTCGACCTTGCGTGCTTGTGTGTGCTGTTCTGTGCTGTGCTCTTCTTTCTGTGTGGCTATATTAACCACAATTATATTTTGTGTAAACATTGTTAGCATAGATCAGTGGAATCCGTGGAAAGCTGCTTGGGAAAACCAACTCCTCCAACCTGCCAGCGCCCGAGAGGGTTTCGTGATCGTTTCTTTATCACCTGAGTCACTTTGTATGGCGCTCACGTCACAGCTAGCCCCCACGGCCCCCGTCTCTGTCTGGTCTGGAGCTGTGGAGCTCTGGAATGCCGAGCTATGTAGCTCTCTGCTTCTGCCTCTCTCTCTTCTCCGATCTCCGCTCTCCCCTGCTCGCTGTCTCGATCTCGCTCTCTCGATCTGGGCGCCTTTATGGGTCCGTTACCATTTTTAGTTAACAATCAATTATATGGTTACACAGCCATTTAAAGGCCATCGCAGGAAACAAAATACGTGCCTCCACACTCCCTACATCTACAGGTTCAACACCCACCGCCCGCTCCACTCCACTGGCCCCACAGACACATCAAATCAGAAATCAATTTATTCCGACCTATGGCACAATAAATACTTCGTATTAACCTCAATTAATTTAGCTAATTGAGAGCGCGTGCCCTCGCAATCTGCCATTTGATTCTGGATGCGTTGTATATGGTTCTCGCTTTCGACCAGGTAACGGTGGTAACGGTAACAATAGCCGTAGTTCTAGTTATCGCCGTTGCTCTTTCAAGTGAAATTCCCTATACACACATGCACATACATGTGCATGTATGTATGTGCACTCACACCCATACACGTCTAGTATCTTATCTAATCAGTTTATTAAATACGAAAACCCATGCGAGAAACCATAAAAGAACCCACATGCTCATACACATACAATTCCTCATTTATTTTTGCGAACAAAGAGGAAGAGCCCTCTAGAGCTTTTAGAGCACCAATAAAATCTAGTTTAGAAGTGCAGATTATGCTTCGCCTAGTGAAAGCACTTCAGACTTTCTCCTGCAATGGATTGGCATCTGGCTGGTTATGTTTTCTGGGATTCCACAATGAAGCTTGCAGTTATTTTCATACACTCTGAAAAGCTAGCTATTTATCTTCTAAGAGATTGTTCCTGCTGTCGCTTAATCGGCATGTGTACGTCATACATACTATATGACTGCTCTTATTCTCCATTAAGCCCAGATAGATAAGCTAAAATTAGAAAAACTGTGAGCTTGAGTAATCCCGCTTCAGTAAAACAACTCAACAATAGACGAAGGGAATGTGGAATTGTGTGTAATATATTGACTAAGCAACAAAACCCAACAGCGGTTTTTATTTATGTATGATGCTTTAAATGGGAAAAGGAATGAAATTCTAGCAGCTGAATGATGCACTGCACCCATTTACTTAATACTCATATGGCACTGATAAGGCGCAGTCCACAAAGGACTGAAGTGAACCGAGCTGAACTTGCAGTTCCATAGTGGACATTAAGTGTCGTTTAAGTCAAATAAAAGCTTCAAGACCTCCTCCCCATCATGTGCAATGTCAGTGGGCAAAGAAAGACTGCAGCTGGAGTGTGAAATGTTGCAAGTGTTCCAAGAACACTCCGTGAACAACAAATACTCGTACGTAACTTGATATGTAAAGTTTACAAGAGGCCAACCCCGCTGCAACAACAACACAGAACAGAACAGAAGAGATAACAAAGCGACGGAGAATATAATATATATAGTATATGGAGCTATACAAGTCCCATCCACTTCACATTGTATACAAGTGTATTACAAAAAGAGCTCAATTATGTTTAAATAATTTATTATGAGTATTAATTACAATGCAAGCCAAGCTGGAGCAGCTTCTGTTTCCCAGCTTGAAACTGTTTAGTTTCCGCTTATTTTCGGTTTTATGGGGAGATATTTTACTCGACTGTTACTTACTGTAGTATTACTGAACAATTTTCACTTTCCTTTCACTTGGTTGTGTTCTCGCACCTGATTTCTTATCCAAAAGTTATCCAAAAACATATTGAAAATGTTTTCAGCGGTGTTGCTTAATCAGCTGGTAGTATAAATAGCAAAGCATACATATGTACGTATGTATGTGTGGGTAGCATTGGGACTTAATTATTTGCACGCTCTTGTAGTCACTAAAACAGCTCCCCAAAACTCTTCTGTTTGTTTATAATAATTTAAAACGCGTCAAAAAAAAAAGGCCCAATCCATTGGCGAGTTTGCTGTTTATTTAGTTTTGTTCCTGCTCTCAACCCCAAATCTGTTGGTTTTGTTATTTTTGGTGTTGCTGCTACCTAATGGCCAATTGTTCAGTCGCAGTTTGTTTAGAATTGTGAGCGAAAAAAAACCTGTTTCTATTTGTGGATCTCTGTTGCCATTTTTCCGGCACGAACTCACCCGATTTACTGTTGGTAACGTCATTCAATCAAACTTAAGAACTAATGTGCAATGTGTAATTTGGTTTCAAATTTCCATCAATGTAAAATATATCCAAAACTTAAGAGGCTGTCATCGTCCCTAGAAACATTTTTTCTAAATTCTACTACATAAAGGAACACAAGCACTTAAGCGCAAATGAAGACCCTCTCTCCATCAATGATGAGACTTAATTGTGTGGACCCCGAGTATCAAAGTGCCCCAGTCAAAGTTCAGACTCTGTAGATCGCGTGCCAATAAAGCACTTTATGCTTTGAAGAACGAGTACATCCAATTTAACCCCAAGTTTGTGAAGCACACAAAATGGGTTTAAGTAAATAAATTTGTAACTTAGCTTATCTATATTTTCCCTGACACTGATCAGTGCCTTTTGGTTCAATCAAAATTTGTTATACCCTTCTATGATGAAAGGGTATTGGTAGTTGTAGGTGCTTCTTTACCAAGTTTTTGTATCGACTGGCCAAAAGTTCAAATGAAATCATTCGGGTCGAACGGTAATATGTTGATGAATGTCACAACGGAACCGGTTCTGTTTTTTGTTTCCTTTCGTTGTATCAGCTGTGATGTGATGCAGCAGTCTGCTGGCTTTCATGTGTGGGCTGGCTGGGTAGCCAACCTTTTCGTGGGATGAGTCACTGCAATCTGAGGAACGGCAAGTGTGGTCTAGGCCTTCTATTAGAAGCTCCACATTGTATGTGTGTAATTATATTCGGTTTGCATTGTCCGAGATTCCATCCACTGACACAGATGATGAGTCATATACATACATATGTACCTTCAAGATAAATAATTCCGGGAATTCAGATGAGTTTTCTGCGTACGGAGAGAGACCCCAAGATTCCCCAAGCCCAGCCCCTAATGGCGGCAGTCTGTAGTACATACATATGTAAATTGGCCAAAAGTCTTTTGATTTCGGTTTTATTAATACGGAGTATCTGTGTGTTTTGTTTGGAGGCTGGTAGGGAAATCTAGTTTATGTTTTGGGTCAACTGGAAACGGAAAAAACCAGTTTTAATTAAAAAGAAAAATTTATGAAACGAATGTTGGTGGTTTGCTTGGCTTGACATGTGGTGAAAGTCTATTAGTTTTAGCTGAGCTTTTATTTAATTGTTGTATAAGCCCCAAACCATCAAAAAAGTGAATTTATTTCCATTAGCAAGTGAGGAATATCACCATTCGCAGAATCAATTGCGGCTGATGGAATCCAGACCAGACCTCGATTGGCGTCGTAAAAGCTCAAATTGCTGTCCCCACACCCCTCCCTCTGGCCTTCGATACATTTTTTGTGTCGTTGTGTGGCCTTTTTTAGCTGTGCTGTCGATTAGATTAGAAAAGTTTTGAAGTTCAAGTGTCTATGGCTGGAGGGCCGTACCGAGAACTCTGTTACCATCAAGCAGCCATCGGCTTTAGCAATGGAAAGAGTTGAAGGGATCGGGCAGGGCCAGAGATTTCCGGTTGCCACAGCCGCAGGATGAAAGTACCACATACTCGTGCACGCGGGTGTGGGTGTGTCAAGATAAACAAGCACAGAATCAACATCTGCCACCAAATGGTGCAATATCGCAGACAGAACTGTCAAGCAAGCAACAGCAACAGCAACCCGCCTGACGCCTTTATTTTGCTTTCTTTGCAGTTTCTCACCAAAGACTTAATCCGGAATGACGTCGGCGATGTCGAAGTGTCCGCGCCCTCTGAAAATCACAATCGTGGGCGATGGCATGGTTGGTAAAACCTGCATGCTGATAACCTACACACAAAACGAATTCCCCGAGGAGTATATACCGACAGTGTTCGATAACCATGCCTGCAACATCGCAGTGGATGATCGGGAGTACAACCTAACGCTCTGGGACACGGCTGGGCAGGAGGACTACGAAAGACTTCGACCGTTGAGCTATCCAAATGTGAGTTGTGGCGGTGGCTGTGGCTGTGCCGTAGATGTTATGCAATTAAGCGAGGCTAATCAATTTCGTTTCGCTTCGGGCTCTCACAGACGAACTGCTTTCTGTTGTGCTATTCGATCAGCAGTCGCACCTCTTTCGAGAACATCAAGAGCAAATGGTGGCCAGAGATTCGTCACTTCTCAAGCAACGTGCCAGTGGTGCTGGTGGGCACTAAGCTGGACTTGCGCATACCGAACTCGGAGAAGTTTGTCACCACACAAGAGGGGAAACGATTGCGCAAGGAGATCCATGCATCCAACCTGGTCGAGTGCTCTGCCAAGAAGAAACAGAACTTGCAGCAAGTCTTCGAGGAGGCTGTCCGCGCCGTCGAAAAGAAGCCAAGGTCGTCACCCAAGCCATCCTGCACACTACTGTGAACTAAGTGTACGATTAATGTTTAATATTGTTATTATACGTAATGTATTATGTAACTAATTTCTCTGACTCTTTGTGCTTTGTTTTCCAAACTGTGTGTAGAAAATTTACCGTTAAGTTCTTATTATTTAAGTGCTTGTTGTGTGAAAACAATCCATTTTCCGTGCGACCAAAGTGCATTTCTGTGTAAGAAAAAAAATCAAAACATAAAAAATATAAAATCAAACAAACATATACATATTTACTATAAAATATAAATAATTGAATTTGAATGCATATAAATGGCGGACAAAATCGTGTTATTGTACATATTCAATAAAAACCTAGTCGTTAAAACCAGTTGTTAGGTCGTCTTTTCAAAAAGTCCCGCCGTAGTACCAGCTCCATTTATCGAACTCGATAATTGTCTATGACACTGGTCCGATAGTTGGACTATCGATTGTATTTCAATAATTTCACATAGGGATGATATGCATTTTAAAATGAATTAAGATGGATAAATTAAAAAGGAAGTTTTAAAATTACAAAATTGATTCATCAATAGCACAAAAATGTTGGTATATCGTAGCAATAATACAAAATAGTATATTTCATAAATTGCTGGTATATTACGGTATATTTATGAGGGTCAAACGGGTATATTTCTTCGATAAATCCACGGTCACACTATTCACTTCCCAGATTATGTGGAATTTTAAATAAATAAATTATTAATTATTTATTTTTTGATATTTACTGGTTACTTACCTGATTAAATAGAGCGGGATTAAGCTATTTTTTTTTCTCGGTGTCTGAGGTTCCAGTCACACTCGACAAAACAAATCAAGTGAAATATTTATTTTTCCATATATGTACATATATACTTTTGAAAATGACCGCCAAACTCATTTAGCGCACAAAAAATACTGACATTTATCGCTCTCAAATCGTGGTGGGTTTTCAAAATTTGCTCTCTTTTCAGAGGTGAAGAGAGCGTTTTCGTGGTGACTTTCCCCTCATGATCGTGGTGTGAGCCACATTCACCTAACGGAAACCGGAGCAACAATGAGTTCACTTCATCGTATAAATATTAATATGATTTTTAAAATTATTAATATATATTTTTTTGGTACTCAGCGGACTTGTGAAGAAAAATATTCGGCAATATTTTGTTGTTTCATGGTCGCGCGAACATGTTTTTGGACTTTGCCGAGAAAACCACCCCAAGTGTTTACAGAAAATTTCGAACGATTTGGCCGAAAGTTGAAAACGCTTAAGGTAAACCGTTACTTTTGTAACGGATTTTATATCAAAAAGTATTTTTTTGGTACAAAAAGAAAATTTTTATTATTGATGATAGGCCGTGGCTAAGTGTAAGCCCAAGGGGGTCTGGCGTGGATTTATATGGCGGACTCCCAAGTTAAATATAAATGTACGATCCCACTTGAATACCTAACTTTCTCTGATCACAAAATACAGTTTTCTAAAAATAGGAACGCTAGAATGGGCTTGGTTTTGCTCATTTTTTAACCAAACAATTGTATATAAAATACATGTAAAACTTAAGCAAGTAGTAGCTTAAAATCATAGTAAAAATACTCCGTGAAGGGAGGAAATTCACCGAATCTCTCCAGCTTGTAGCTGACATTCTCCAGGCTGAAAGGTATCCTTTCTAGGGCCAATTTTTGACGCACGCGACATTTTCCGACGGGTTGTCTCCTCAATTAATTGACTTGGTATGAAATGAAAATATTTCCCTTTTACCAATAAATGCTGAAACTGTACCTAAATTTCAACCATTTTTCATTGGTTTGGCTGATTATTTGGAACGTAGAGTCATTCCTACGTTCCTACGCGTTCCCGTAAGATGCATTTGATTTGTATGGGAAAAATTTCAGCAACATGGGAAATGAAGTAGCTGCATTGTTGTGCAACTTTGGCCCGAAATGTGCAACAAGTCTGAATACCTTGGGAAAATGGATATTATGGACTTGGGATACTGTTTGTAATTTCAGGCTCCAAAATGCCGAAACTAGTCAGTCTCTTTTTTAAAGACATTAACGAAATTTTGTAGCTCATACCAATAACACTAGTCAACACTAGAATTAGGCTGTGGCCCAAAATATAGATTCTTATAGATTTCGGGGCTTAAAAGCTTTTAACGAATTATGGTTTTTTATACCCGTACTCAAAAAAGAGTTAAGGGGTATATTAGATTTGTGGTAAAAGTGGATGTGTGTAACGCAGAGAAGGAAACGTTTCCGACCCCATAAAGTATATATATTCTTGATCAGCATCAATAGCCGAGTCGATATAGCCATGTCTGTCTGTCCGTCTGTCTGTCTGTCGTCGTCTGTCTGTCCGTCTGTCTGTCTGTCTGTCCGTCTGTCTGTCCATCTTGTTGAGCGCAGTATCGTAGAGAATGCCCATATCTACCAGACTGCCGAATCTGAATCAGATCGGTTCATAATTATAGCCAGAATGACGAAATTAATTTTCAGTTGCTTCCCCTGCCCCCTCCTGCGGACGACAACGCAACTCATTTTCCTTCTCGCTCGCACACTCTGCCGCGTTCAGTGCGCGAGAAGATGTAGAATCTGAATGGTACATCTATAATCTACATGTTAGATGTAAAATATACATTGTAGATGTAGATAACAGATGTAGCAAAAAAATGTAAAATGTAAAATTTTTTTTTTATTCTAAAATTCTAAAAAATCTTATGCTCAAAAATGTATATACTGACTAAGTACGGGTATAAGTAGAGTCGCGTCCCCAGAAGAGACTCACACGTTCCTTCTCGTTTGTAGTAAATCGAAGTAAACACTTTTTTAAATCCATTTTAGATATGTGTGACCATCTGATCTTGTGTGGCCTTCAGTTTTTAGATTTAGGATATGTTTTCCTTTAATATCCCTACAATATACTCCACACCCATTTGAACCGAATAAACACACAAAAACGGACCAGAAGGCACCGCGGCGATAAATATTACATACAATTCGATTTTAACCGTTTTATTACATATAAGACAATTGGTACAGCAAACGGCCCACAGTGCCCGAGGCCAAGTGACCAAGTAACCCCATACCAACTAACCGTTGTATCAACTTTGCCAAGAATTGGCAAGCCATGCCGTTTCTATTATTTTTTCCATCACGTATATATAATATTATTAAAATTTATATAGATATGATTTTTTGTCATAAAATTTATACATAAACAATTAATCTCTAACATTGATCACTGGCTATGTCGTGGATCTTGGCCACGTAACGAGGGGCATTGCACATCCGGAAAGCACGTCATCCCGACGAACAGGAATACCTGCACTGTTCGCACCAGGATTAGCTTAAACATTTCCAAGCCCCACTCTGAGTCAGATGTCAGATGTCCGCTGCCGCGAGCTGGAGCGAACTATTCTGGGACCAAGGGGACGTGGAGGCGTTAAACGATAGCTACCAGCTGCTGAACGAGACGGTCGTTGGCATTGAGACGGCCATTCCCAGCCGAAAAGAGGCCACGACAAAGCAGCTGGGGCCCTCGGAGTCCTCCGCTGCTAAAAAGGAGCCCAAGAAGAGAACGGAACCGATAAATAGACATCTGAAAAGGGAGATAGAGACACTGAGAATGAAGAACGAACGGTTGAAGGCCAATATACAGGCCGTTATCAATCAGGGGGACCGCACTGAAGGAGAGGGCCCGCCAACGGCACCAACAATCAAGACCAACTGGAGCAGGTGCTGGACATCATGCGACAGCCTTACATCCATCAGTCCCTCTATGCAGCCCAGTCAGTGGCATCTTCAATTGCTGCACCTTTTGTGGGGGGGGGGCCTGACCACCGCGGCTGAGTCCTGGGACGCGAGTCATGGGAATTAATGGGAATTGAGTAAACTTAAAACTTAAAATTTTTTACAAGATCGAAATTTTGTTTTACGCTAAGTCAAATAAAAAAAAATAAATAAAAACTACCGTACAGGTCGAAAATCAGTGTTAGAATGAAATATTGCCCAGCCTCAAATCAAACGATACGAACAGAAAAGTAAATGCTAACTAGATGAAATACTTTTCCAAGCAAGTAAAACACATGCAAAATCTATTGATTTTTGTCAGTTTATGTTTTGGTAGAATTTTTTGTATTTTGTTTCAAATTGAAAGCAGCAGAACGCCACACTTCTGACTTCGAAGTCTCAGCAACTTCTGATAGATACGCCTGAAGGTAATCCATTGACTGTATTTCACTCATATGCCTCAGAAAGCAGCACAGAAAAGCTCTAAAGCAACTCATAGAGAGTGTGAAATTATCTACCTATAATACCTATAATACATATATTCAGAACATTCCCCGCTCTGCTCTTCTCTGATCTGATGAGCGGAGGAAAACCTCTGAAAATTAAACTCCTTTTTGCTTGTTCCAGTGGAGGCTTTTATTTTATTTTTTTGGTTTATTGGATTGCATTTCTTTTCTTGGCGACTTCTTGGCGGTCTTCAGGTATTTTCTTCTTGTGCTATTTTGCTTTTTTTATACCCGTACTCAAAAAAGAGTTAAGGGGTACATTGTATTTGTGGTAAAAGTGGATGTGTGCAACGCAGAGAAGGAAACGTTTCCGACCCCATAAAGTATATATATTCTTGATCAGCATCAATAGCCGAGTCGATATAGTCATGTCCGTCTGTCCGTCCGTCAAGTGTATTTAAAAATTTCACAAAGGACGAAAATCTGTGGCAGGCACAATTTTAAAGATAAGATAAAACTAAACACATAACTTAAGTATCTTATATCTGGTTGCATAGAACTTTGCAGTTCTGAAAAGCTGACAAACGCAGCTATAAATCCGACCCGGAGCCTTTGTAAAAGCAGTGAAAAATCGAGAAAAAATGCTTTTTACCAAAAATTGCAGATACAAAAGGTCTGGGTCGGATTTATAGCTGCGTTTGGCAGCTTTTTAGAACTGCACTGTTCTATGCAACCAGATATAAGATACTTAAGTTATGTGAAAAAAAGCACTAATTTCAGGTAAATTAGTTTTGAGTCGTTTTGGTCAAATGGCTGCAAGTTGACCGTTTATCCATAGATTTTGATGAGCAATACCTAACACGACGCCTAATTAATGCGTCTATCTAAAACCAAGAATTGGCCAAGAATAATTTTTTTTTTCGACTTTTCCCGAGTTTTGAAAGTCAAAATTTCTATAAAAAAATACCGCAAAAAAATAATGAAATTGGAATTTGAAAGCTTAATATCTTTCAGGCGTTAAGCTGCAGATACAAAAGGTCTGGGTCGGATTTATAGCTGCATTTGTCAGCTTTTCAGAAATGCAAACCAGATATAAGATACTTAAGTTATGTGAAAAATAGAAGCACAACCTCTGAAAAAAAACCATTAAAAAAATACCAGATTTTAAAACTTCTTAAAAAACAATTACACCATAAAAAAATAATAAAGTACTAAACAAATTTTTAAATCCGGAAATCTATCAGAAAAAGTCATTTTGGCTCACAGCCTAAATAAAAAGTTCAATTTTGTCGTGTAGTGAAATAGGTATCAGAACCGGGATAAATGTATTTATAAAGCACAAAAACATATGCATAGATAGGTAAAAAACAACTCAATCTAACAGATATGCAATATTAATGTTTCAAAGCAGCCTGAAACAACAAATTTAACATCAATTAAAAGAAATAAGGTATACAAAGGTCCATACGCATAGAAGAAACTTAGTTAACCAGCAACATTGACGTCACATTTAGTCAACATTTAAGTTTTATGCTTTGGCCGTTTTTGTTTGAACCTTAATATGTAAATAATCCAATAAAAAGAACTTCTGAAAACCTGCCAATCTTGTACAAAATCTATTGATAAATTGGATAAAATTATTTGTCTAGGGCTGAGAGGGCCAACTATCTAGTAATATTAAACTGAATATCAAAATTGACGAATTTCATATCACAAAATATCACGGTATGGCAGCCCGCAGCAACTACGAATTGCACGAGTCTGGCAGCGCCACAAAACGACGACAAATTCGTTTTATGCTGTTTTTGTTTGAACCTTAATATGTAAGTAATCCAATAAAAAGGACTTCTGAAAACTTGCCAATCTCTTAAAAAATTTATGTATCTATCGGATAAAATTATTTGTTTAGGGCTGAGAGTCCCAGCTAGCTGGTAATATTAAACGGAATATCAATATCGAGGAATATCAACGTGGAAAGTTTTGAAAAAAAAAATCGATACTATCGTGATAGTATCGGGCTGAAATAATTATTAAGAAACCATTGAAACCTTTTAGGAACTTGTCCATTGTAAAAATTAGATGCCACCTGTAGATTTTTTTACAAATTTGTCTTCGTATTTTATAGCAGCCAATCCAAAAATATCAAGAGCGCAACGACTGTAGCTCGATACTATCATGATAGTCGCAAAACCGTCGATAGTAGCGGATAGCAGGAAAATATCGATACTATCGATACACCTCTATCCCAGATGATGTGGAATTTTAAATAAATAAATTTAAAAGTTAGCAATTAAGATGGACATAACCCAGCACTTTAAGGCGAGTGTCATGACAGTGCGCCTGCAGCGCAAGAATGAGCTGGCTTCGTCGGGAAGAGGGAAGGCCGCAGCAGGACCTCCAGTTTCAGGACCATCCAAGCCTACTGGACTCCGAGATGACTTCGCGATTGAGGCCAAGAAGGTGTGCAACAAGATCACGGATCTGCGCAACCTTCTCATAGAGAATCGCACTGCCTATATGAGGATTGGCCAGCACCTGAAGAGTGCGGCGCACATGACAGATGCCCAACGAAATTTGATCGATCGCGAATCGGAAAAATTCGTTGCCGTCTACACGCAGCTTCTGGCCAAGATGCGTGGCGAATGGAAGAGTGTGAAGCGAAAGCCCCAGGAGCGGCAGCACATCGAGGCGGTGCTTGACTTGTTGGTCAGTTATCTTCACGGCGTGGAGCAGATATATTTGGATCAAAAAAAGTACCGGATCCAACATGAACTAGAGACATACAGACTACTCAAACTGGCGGCAGATAAAAAGAAAATACCCGTCCGCCCAGGGGGTGGCCAAAGTGCTAAGATCGGAAAGCGCCTGCTCAGCAATAGTAGCCCCGATAACAAGGAGGCGTCACCGTCGGACGATGGCGGTCTCGAGGACTCCGCCGACAACGATTGGAGCAACGATGGCTGGGGCGACTGGGATGATGACGAAGACGAGGATGCGACTGAGACTGATGCACAGATGGAGAGCAGTGCTCCTCAGTCGTCGCTGCACAAGTCTCGAACGCGTAAGCGAAGCAAAGGCAAGCAGGCTGCCCTAAACGACTCCTCGGCCAAGGTGGCACTGGATGAGGATATCCATAAGTCCGCACAGGAGCTGCCGGATGACGAGGATCCCCTGAGCGCAGAGGATGTACAGCTGTTTGAGGCGGAGAATGTCCATATGTATAATTTCCTACAAGGGCTCTCCGAGGAGGTAGAGCAGATTGGGAAGAATGTTGTGGACATTGCCCAGCTGCAGGATATTTTTACCGAAAAAGTAGGACCATCCATCCCATTCCACTATTTCGTATCTTGTCTAATACTTGATTTGATGCCCTTTTAGGTCGCAATGCAGCAGCACAACATCGAGCGGATTGCCAGTGCCGTTGTGGGCAGCACGGAGAATGTTAAAGATGCCAACGAGCAGATCCGCCAGGCAACCCAACGCAACGCCTCCGTTCGTGTCTATTTCCTGTTCTTTTTGATTGTTATGTCGTTCTCCTTGCTGTTCCTGGACTGGTACTACGACTAGGACCGCATTAAAACACATTTCGTAATCGTTGGATCGTACTAATAGACATAATTTGTTTATTTTATAGTAGTTTATAAATAAAAAAGAAGAGAAACGAAAGGGTGATTCAATTGTTTGGTTTCTTCAATAAAACGATGGTCAAACAATTTGGAATTAAAATCAATTTGAGCTGTAATCGAACTCTTAGGCTTAAGGTTCTCTTCCACGCTTAAGGTTTTAAGTCGGGTGGTGGGTGGCGGGGGTTTTTTTCTTTTATGATGATTTATGCCTAGCGTCTTACTGTCTAATGAAGTAATTTGTTCGTTTAATTTAGTGGCTCTTCTATATCAAGGAATACGGGGTTCTACTGCGTAAACTCGCACTATGCATAAGGCTTATTTTACTCCTAATTTGCGTAGTACAACGTTCCATCGACATCGACCTCGATCTCATCTCGACAGATATTCATTGCATGAACGTCTAAGTGTCTAATTTCTACCTAACTTATCAGCTATTTATGTATGTGGTAACCTGTCGAATTGTTAGGGAGTGTTGTGTGTATGTGTGTGGGAGTGTATTCATGGCTTAGTCTCTAGATTGTTTATGTGCAATTTTAGATTGCATTCGATGCAGTCTGCTGGTTCTTTCCGATCAGTGTGCTGGGCCAGGGCCAGGGCCAGGGCCAGGGCCTGGGCCTAGGCTGGGCTGGGCTGGGCTTAAGGACTCTCAAGGTTGACTCCAATGGAAGCTATTCGCTAGAGCCACTAGAAGTAGCAATAGTAGTAGGAAGGCGCCGCTGTAACGTGGCATGGTTGTTGGTAATTGTAATAAACGCAATCGTTGTAAACTAAATAATAACTCGGCCACGTGGGTTATGGCGTTGAGGCAATCGAGTCTAGGCTGGGTAGGCTACGCCCAACCAAAGCACTGCTCTCCACCGAATTGGAGATTTGACAGCACTCATCTGGATTGCTATTGATATTGCTCATCGGGGTCAGTGGTGACGATCCATCCTCCATTATGGGTGTGGCTGGATTCTCGCCGGACTTGTCATTGTGGATGCTGCTGATGCTGATGCTGGTGGTGGTGGTGGTGGTGCTGCAGTTGGTCGACGACGACTTCAGGGCGACCTCCTCGTTCAGAAACACTCCCAGTGGCAGATGAGAGTTCATGTGAGCTAGGGATTGGAAGTGTAGCCAAAACTCAATTAGTTTTATGTATATTTCGTAAAGGATTCTCTTAAGTGTTTAAAAGTGCGTCTTAGGTCTAGGCCATGCAGGAAGGCAGTAAAGCATTCTAAGCGTACTAAAGTAGGTTCTACTACTAATTATATCTACAACTAGCTATACCGGAAAGGTAATGGTTGGTAGTTGGTTTTTTTGTTCTTATAAACTGGAGACTTTACCGCGGAAACCCATAAAATGCAAGAAGGATCGTGGACAGAACTCGCATTTGTAAAACAATTCGCTGTTGTGGGTGCGCCGGTGCTTGCGTAAATCTCTGAGATACTCGAATGCCAGATCGCACTCGTCGCACTGGTAACCAAGCTCTGGAATAGACAATTTGTTGGTGGCCTTATCTGCATAAAGTATTTTGGAATCGATGTGAACTTGGAGGAGAGATCGAGTGGGAACACTCTGTGGTGCGACAATGGGCTTACGGTGGTTCAGGAACACAAAATACGGACACATTGGGGCGTGAAGTTTGTTATTTAAAGTGCGGAATTTTGAGAAAAAAAACATATTAAGCCTGTCCTGCCGTTGCAAGGCAGAAAAACTTAAATTGCGGCGCACGTGACGCGATACAATGATACAAATTGGACGCCATGTAATCATTTAATCAATGCTTCACAACGATTGCATTTATTTTTAAGCATTTATTATTTAATTTTTAAATGTTTGGTTTGTTGTCTTGTTTATAGGCATAACAAACTCAGAACATTTAAGAACCTACTACAGATCTCATAACACCCAATGTTAGTACCATAAAAGCTCTTATTTCAACTTCTTCCGGGTCCGTGTTAATTACGAGTAGATATGTTACTTGATACTCTACATTTAAATACGTTTTATACATGGGTGCATACAATTGCTGGCAAGGTGTTGCTAGGTTGGGGGTTAGTGCATGGCATGCAATTGGAGTACCATATTTTTGTGTGGGAATGGTTGTTCGGTGGTCGGGAGTTGCTTTACCTTTGGAGCATACGACCACGGTAGAAAGACTGTTGCAACGATAACGTTTTGTATGGGATTAGTAAGGGTTACAGTTACACACAGAACATTACAACGACAGAACACAAGATTAGTTAATACTAGACTAGGACTAGGACTAGGACTACAAGCTACTAGCTGCCGCTGCCAACTCAGCTCCCATTTCCTTAGTAGGCCACCGCATCCGCATGCGTTCGAGCACCCAAAAACTTACCACCGTGAAACTTAACGTGCGTCTTTAGGGCGCTCTCCGTACCAAATTGTTTGCCACACTCGTCGCAGGTGTGCGGCTTGGACAGCAGGTGGACGGTGATCTTGTGCAGCGTCAGCTGCGAGGTTCGTGGGAACCGCACATGGCACAGATTGCACTCGTAGGGCCTTCCCTCCACGCCGTGCGACTCCATGTGCCGATGTAGGGCCGTGCGCATCCGATAGCCCCGCTTGCAGATGGTGCATACGAAGGGCATCGAGGGCTGGGCTCCGTGGGCCAGCTGGTGGTGCTTCCGCAGGGCAATGTCGTTGGAGAACCGCTCCTCGCAGTACATGCACTGGTGGCTGGTCCGCAGTTCGCTGACCTGCACGTTGGCGGAGGCGGAGGCGGGGGTGTTTGGGGCCGAGTCTATCGTGGAAGAGGACGGCGACGACGAGGGCGAGGGTGAGGGCGATGCCACGGGCGTGGCCAGCTGCAGCGACTGATTAAAGCCCCCCGATTGCGGCCCCACGATGACGCCTCGCTTGCGGAACTGCCGCAGCGTCGTGGTGGAGTCCGGCTCCGATTGCTCTGGCGAGGGCAGGGTTATGTGCATCATCGGCTGCGGGGACGGCACCGACATGATCGTCGATGGCGGCGTTGGCACCGTTGGCGGTGGCTGCAGATTCGTCTGCAGCTCCTCGTACTGTCCGTGGCCGTGACTGTGGCCAGAGGTACCTGAAGGAAAGGCGAATTTAAACTTGGATTCTTTATCTTCAATTGAGTTTCCACTTACAGTCCTCGCAGTCCGGACAGCAGAGAATGCGTTGCCTGCGTGGTCCTGGCGTGGTGTGTCCATGCAGCTCCAGAGCTAAAGGAGGGAGGATAAAGCGGATCATTAGCAGGGATTCTACTTGGCAATCGATTCGACTAGAACTCACCAGACGGATGCGGCTGCTGCTGCTGATGTTGCTGCTGCTGCTCGTTGCTGATCTGCAGTTGTACCTCCTCCACGCGCACACCTCCTCCCTTTTCTCTGCCACCCTTTTTGCTGGCAATCTGCATGTGGAAGCGCTGGATGTGCAGGTCGAGGGCTCGCTGGGCGGGAAACACCTGCGAGCACTGACCGCACTGATACTGCTGCACCACATGATGGTTGAGGATGTGCTGCGACCGCTTGCTGCGCGCCGCAAAGGCCAAAGGACAATGCGGACAGTTGAATGGCGCCACCGCCGGGTGCAGTTCGATGATGTGACGACTGTACTCCAGACTGTTGTTGAATCTCGGTCCGTTCTGGCAGAAGCGGCACTTGAGCGACACAGCGCGACCCTTTGGCGTGGTTGCGGGCATTGGAGAGGCTGCTGCTGCTGCTGCTGCCGCCGCTGCCTGCATTCCTAATACTGAATGATTTTGTACTTGATTTTGATGTTGCTGTTGCTGCTGCTGCTGTTGCTGCTGTTGCTGCTGCTGCAGATGGTGCAGCTCGTTGCTGATTGGCGCACCGTAAAAATGCATCGGCGCTTGCTGTGGATTACTGGCCGAGGCCACGGGCTGCTGCAGTTCCGGCTGTTGTATCAATATCATGATGGGTTGCTGCTGCTGCTGCTGTGCCTGTTGTTGCTGCTGCTGCTGTTGTGCCTGTTGTTGCTGCAACTGCTGATGATGATGATGCTGCTGCAACTGTTGTTGCTGCTGCTGTTGCTGGTTGGCCTGCTCCAGCATGTAGTTCTCATTGGGATCTAGCATCGTGTAGGTGGCCTCCAATGGTGCAGCCTGCTGTTGGAGCTGGTGCTGGTGCTGGTGCTGGTACAGATCCCCAGCACTTATGTAGTATGTTGTTGTGGTGCTTTCCATGGGACCAACGCCGCTCTTGATGGCCTCCAGTCCGCCCACTGCTGACCATTGCAGATGTGTCGTCTGCTGCTGCTGCTCCTGGGGCTGATAATGCTGCCATTGCTGTTGTTGCTGTTGTTGCTGCTGATGCGGATCGATGGGAGCTGCTAGTCCTGGCGAAGGCAACAGTTGCAGCTTGCTGGGCGACAGCTGCTGCTGCTGGACAGAGTGCTGATGATGATGATGATAGATTTGCTCATAGGAAACGGTCGTGGTCGTCTCCTGGTGTTGCACCTGCGGCACCTGGACCATCTGAGGTGGCTCTAGAGCTTTCGCGACTATTGGCTGCCGCACATGAAGATGCTCTAGAGGTTGTTGCTGCTGCACCTGAACCTGTACGTGCACCTGAGACTGCTGCCGCTGTTGCTCCACCTGAGGTTGCGCAACCAGAGGCTTCACCTCGGGGGGGACTGCCACTGGCTCAACCTGCGGTGCCGCCACCTGCACTTGCACTTGGACTGGCAATACCCCGGGCGATACCTGCGATCCCTGCACTGCCTGCTGTGGCTGCAGTTCGTTGAGGAACTGCGTCAGCTCCAGATGCAGACTCTGCTCGGGCTCTGGCGAGGCCTCGATGTTTTCGAAGCAGGGAATATCATTCTGGAAGCCAATCAGCTCGTTGCTAAAGTTGCTGTTGTCGAAGAGATCCTCCCGCTGACCGGCCCCCGGGTTGGGTTTCTCCTGCGACTCGGCGAGAACTGGCTTGGCGTCGCCGGTTGGCTCCGGCTCCTGCTCCTGCTCGGGTTCGCTAAGGGAGGCATAGTCGGCGGAGGTGAGGAACTCATCGATGTGCGGACAGGTCGGCGTGTACATGTGCTGGTCCTGCATCTCGTTGAGGATGCCGTTCAGTGTGGTCTCCACATCGTTCATCTCCACCTCGAGCTGCTGCTTGGCCTCCAGATCGTTGAGGGCCAGCGGCAGGGGCTCGGCTCTGGGTGTGGGTGGCGGCGATGGGGCGGGTGTGGTGGCTCCAATCTGCTCGAGACCCTTCTCGCAATGCTTCTCGAATTCGGCTAGAAAGTCCATGGGTGTGGGTCCAGTCCTTACCACTTGGATCTCATTCTCATCCGTGGACGAGAAGGAGTCCTCGTCGTCCCCATCCGGTGGTGATGGTGGTGGTGGGGACTCTGCCACGTGTACTAGTGGCTCTGCATCTGTGGACCTATCGGGGGCTTCAATTTCTTTTGTTTGGAGTGCCACAGCAGAATTGAAGCTATCTGCTGTAGCACTCTGGCAAAAATTCTCATCGTTTGCATTGTTGTTGACATCGTCGGGATGGCCTGGAAGCTGCTGCTTCTTCTCCTGATCCTGATCCTCCTCCTCCTCCTGCTGCTCTCCAGCGTTCTCCACGCACAATCTCCGCTGCAGATCCTCATTGAGTGCCTCGAGGGGTATGCTCACAATTATCTCTGGCTGCTCTGGCTGGTCTGTTCCTTCCACAGACAGCTGTTCCCCCTCAATGGTTGTGGTTGTGACTGTGCCTGTGGCTGTGGTCTCCGTGGACGAGGTCAGTTCCTTGGACTGTAGCTCCATCGATGATAGATCTACAGTGGCGGCTGCTCCTTTCAATGTTTGTTCATCTTCTTCCTCAATCTTTTGCTTGGACGGAGTCTCCTCGTCATTTCGTAAGGTGCTCTCATCCGACGAATCACTCGGTGACTTCTCCGTCCTGGACGGCAGCTCTTTGACCGACTCTGCCTCTGGTTTGCCATCGCAGTTGGTTTCCAATTCATTTGGGGACTCCTTGCCATCCGTTGGGACTTCTTTTAATTCTTGGATTTCTTTTGCGACCTCATCGATGGATGATTCTCCTGCCGCCTCCGCATCTGAAGTACTGATGTCGCTTGCCTCGTCGCAGGAGGAAGACGTTGCCACCGGACGCAGCGGAGTTGGGCAGTTCTCATCTGATTCGTACTGCTTTTCCTTTGGCTTTTCGCAGGAGATTTCCCCGTCAGACTTTGTGTTCTCCTCCAGACTGGACTCAGCTCCAATCTGCCGGATGAGCTCCTTCACCGTCGGCTTCTTGCTCAGTGATCGCCGCTGTCGCTTGGCTGCCATGTAAACGGGCGAACTCCGCGGACGACGGCCACGTCGCAGTGCTGCCATCGCTTTGGGCGATCGCCTGGGGAACTTGAGCTCCGATGGCGCTGAGGTGGAGGAGGGATTGCTGTCGCTCTCGAAGCCACAGAGTGGCCCCACCGACAGATCGCTCAGATGTTCTGTGGCCGCCTCACTGCTGGTACTCCTTCGGCCCTCCATCTCCGAGGAGGGAGCCGGCGAGTAGCTGGACCACGACTCGGACAGCTGCTTCCGCGCAGCCTTTGTCTTCCAGGGCATGCTGCTGGCATCAGCGTGGGCAGGTGCTCCTTCCTCCGCATTCCCATTCCCATTCCCAGTCGCATTCGCAGCCGGTTCCGGAGTTCCTGCGGACTGTGTTCGCATTCTGCGCAACCTCAGCTGCAGGCGACGTGCCTTGGGCGGTGGCAGAACCTCCTCCGCGGCGGCCTCCTCCGTCTTTACAAGTTTTGGCAGTGGCGGCAGCGCGGATGGGGCTTCACCCTCGGACTCAGAGATAATGCGACGCTTTCGTTCCATCTGTGATTCGGGCAAATGCATGTAGTCCGATGCATTCGCATTCGCATTAGCATCCGTGTTGGTATCCGTGTCCCTCGCTTCCTTTTCCTCCCGTCGTGTGGTCTGCGTCTCTTGCAGCAGTTCCTGCTTCTGTTGCTGCTTCTGTTTTCGCTTGGCCTGTCTGGCTGCCTGCCGGTCGGATATTTCCTGGGCATAGTCCTGCAAACGCTGCTGCATTCGCACACATTTCCTTCGAAATTTGGCCACCATCAGGAACTGGGCCATGCACTGGCGGCAAATCTCCTGCGGAAGTCCATCGTCGCGGCTGACCTGTGGGCGAAAAAAGCGAATTGAATAAATAATTTATTAGATATAATGGATTTTAGATGTACATCCAAAAGTGTAATAGTTTAATAGAGACACTACCCGAGAATGCAAAAAAATAAACCAATATACATGTCGTGTGCATGACGAGGCCACATTGATGCTCGAATCGAGACTGGGATCGAGGCTCGATCCATAGAATCCCAAAACAAAATATATGTCGTGTGCATGACGAGGCACGTTGATGCTCGAATCGAGACAGGGAATCCCAAAACAAAATGCATGTCGTATGCATGTCAAGGCACATTGATGAAGGGTTTTTATTTATTTATTTATTTTTAAATTTTGTTGTTTGGTGTTTTGTTTTACATCTGCCTAAATTTAAAAAGCTTGCCCACTAATCTGTTGGCACATGCGGAGTATGATTATTATCAGTTTTCTTGTGTGTTAAACCCTCTACTTAGTGCACATAAAGATAGGCACAAGTAGTTAATGACTAATAAGGTGAATGGAGGCAATCAAAAGCTTAGGCTCTGACCCACAAAACTGGGCACTGGGCAGGCAGGGAGAGGGCTTTAGCAATTTCGTTTCTTTCCACTTTTGGAGTGTGCGGCACGGCGTTTGCTTACCTTTCGTTGAAACTATGAATTAATTAACTGGCAGTGAAAATGTTAAGCATTTTGCCTATTAATAACAAACAATGGTAAGTAACAGCTTAACGAGCGAATGCGAATGGGTTATGGCCAGTTGGTCAGTCAAAGAAATAGCCAATAAAGGAAGGCTGCTGGTGGCTGGTGGCAGGTGGAAGGCGGCACCACAACAGCTCAGGCTGGTGCCCCCTTGGAATGGCAACAAACTCTGGCTGTGCTGGTGGCGGCCGTCGGCACCTTCGTTTTCCGTTGTGTTGTGATTTGGAGCAAATAATTTGCTTTGTTTTCCAAATGAGCGACTTCATTATAGAGAGGGAGTGAAGGAGGAGGCATGCCACATGCCTCAAAAACAGATAAACCAGACACGAACACTATAAAGAAATAAAAACATACATACGAGTACAAGTACAAGTACGAGAGTATTTTATTTTTTGAAGAAAAAGACTGAAGACCTGACGTAGTCGAATGATTTCAATTAAAATTTCAAATGCCTGGGGATCCTGATTGATATTTTGTTGAATATTTATATGGCCTTCTCGTGTGTTTTTATTTTTGTTTTGTTTTGGGCTTAAGGGCGTTGATACAAGTCTACAGCATATACCATACACCCATCAATTGTTTCAAATTTAATTTTAGTTATGGATGGTGGGAGATCAATAAAGACCACAACGGATATGCTGGATATGCTGGTTAGCACTGGATTCGCACACCAGCCACACGCGATCCAATGCAAAAAGAAGCAGTTTTGGTACAAGTGGCAAGCAGTTCATTGATCTGAAAAGCAGTAGATGCATCTCTTCCTTTCAAATTAGCAGTGGAAAGGAGAGAAAAACTGTATTTCAAAAGTGACAGCAGTGCCATTTCCCCAAAAGTGAATCATGTGAGTGAATATAGTGCAAATATGAATGATACTCTCACTACTGATAGTGTACTGATCATCCATCATGGCATGATTCATCCATCTCAAAAGTAGTAGCATATTCCTCCGATAAGCTGTAGAAGCATGAAAAGTGAATGTCTTACTCTCGGACAAGCATTAAAATAATGTAAAAGTGAATGCCAGTGAGAGTACATACTGCCACTTATGTATGTGTACTTCTCTCTAGTGAAAAATAAAGAGCATAACAATCAATTAACAAGTTCAAGATCTCTTTCGTAAATAGACAACAAAGTGCTTAGGTAGGATGAAAGCAGAGCACACAGAACAAATAAAAAAAAGTAAAGAAAGCAAAAAAAAGAAAAAGGTGGAGAATGCTGATACAATTTTCGAGACGCAACAAATAACACAAAAATAAAATAAAGAAAAATAAAAGAGGAGCAGGAAAAAAACTGGCAACGTGATGTGGTTGGTGATCATGGGTAGGGGGGGTAGGGGGGAATATGCTTAGGCTATGGTAATGCAAATACAGTTCCGAAAATGACATAAAGCCTTCCACCAGCACCAGCACAAGAGACCAGACCCCCAGAAATTTATGCATAGCTCGGCGAAAGATCGCCACGGAGCGGGACGGAAATTTGAACGATTTCGAATGCACAAGCTGCCGACAATGCATAACTGATGAGAGAGCTGCTGCTGCTGGCCAAAACCACAAAAAAAAAAAAAAAAAAAAACACCCAAATTCAAAAAAAGACCAAAGCCTCGAGCCTCGAGCCTCGGTCTGGCAATGAGAGAGGAGAGGTGGAGCCCCCAGCCCCCCACCGAACCCACCGGATCGACGAAACGGAATACAGCCGACTGCCGTCAGAGACGTTGTCAAGTGTAAATGACAATTGAAGTAAATGCCGTCCGGTTGCGTTGCGTCCATCTCGTCCGTCTTGTCCGTACAACTGTCCGCGAGTCGAGAGAGTGCGGGGTGTGTGGTGTCTGGTGGGATGTGGGGTGTCTGTGTAACTGTGTTCGAGTGGACCAGGCGAATAAAAATAGACGCAAATGCGCTGAATACACTGAAATAAATAAATAAATAAATAAATAAACTTGCATCGCGTCGTTGTATCTAATAAAAATAACAATCGAGCGAGCACCTAGCGCGCACCCAGAGACGCACCCAGAGGCCAGGCCGGCTACACACCAAGTAACGGAAGAAAAGCGAGGGAAAGCGGGGGGCGGAAAAGGCCCGAATCGATCGAACGAGAATCTGCACCCAACAAATAGAAAGACCCAGAACTAGAATCCCCGATAAAAAGATACAACAGATTTGTAATGTCAATAGCGAACGAGTACGCCGTATACAAATCACACAAATTGATTGATTATCACCAATAAAACATCTCAATTAGCGTTTTGCTACGTGGATGAGATCTCGTCTCGAAATCTAATACATTTCTCAATTAGTCATACAAAAATACCCACAAAATATACATATACATTTATTGTAAATACATGGATGGAAAAAAAATACCCAATAGCTGCCGGGAATTTTTCTACACTTTTTGAGATTGCAAACGATAATAGATACAGATTAATATTAATTTTATACAAGTAATAAATTAATAGGAGAACCATTGGAAATGAGATAGTGAAATAGGGATTGAAATAAAGAGATCTACACATAAGTAAGCCCATGTCCATATGAATTTATGTACATATTTGCCGAATGCTTTCTGGCATCCAACAAGTCCTAGACAAATACTAAATATTAAAAAATAGCAACTTAATATAACTTTAATGATAAAAATTACTTAGCCTTATTTGAACCAGTTTCCTTTAATTTTTTTCTATAAGCTAAAAATTAATATTTAGTATGCGAATCCTTAATATTTATAACTCTTTTCAGTCTGCTTTGCATCGATTCAATTTCTTTTTTCTTCTATTTTTTTCATGTGATTTCTGTCCTAGTTATCCCCCCACTCCTCTGTAAGTAATTTTATGTGTTGGGTTCCTATTGGCATTTGTTAGGTTTTTTCACTAATATCCTGATCTAATGTTGGCCTTCCAATGTTCTTCCTAGTACTATTTTTTCTTATTCGCTCACGAGTACAGCAAGAGAAGAGAACAAGAATAACGGAGAAGCAAAGTAATGAGAATTATCCCGTAGTCAGTTCAGGATAAAAATACACAGAGTATAATCTTACGATCCGAAATACGTACATATGTACATACGGCTATATTTCCAAAACATTTTGGTATTTGTTCTACCCGTAAACAACACAAAAGAAAAACCAAATCCGTCTCAAGCATTACGCAATACCATTACTAAGCATATTTTAGGGCTGAAAGTGATTAAACGGCATTTGGCAGCTACGGTTTTTCCCAGTCTATGCAACACGAAAATGAATTGAGTTCCACGAGGTTCTCTTATCTTATAAAAATTAATAATATTATCATAAAATCAATACACGATAACTGTTATTAATGAAAATATATGCACGAGATATTTCCATATGTACTCTTACACACACATATATTTATAGATCCATTATTATTATTCATTCTTTGGTTAGACTTGGTTTTAATGTACATTATTCAAGGCACACTTTTGCCATAGTCTGGGCTATTGAAAGCCAAAGAGATCTGTTCCTAATTGGTTTCTAAATTGTTTAAAAATTGTTGGCAAAGGCAAAGGCAGTGTCTCAAAGGCTGAGATAAATGCAGACAGACAGACAGACAGACGGATACATTCTGCTGTCATAATCTATTTTCAGACGGAGACGGAGCTCCACAAGTAAATGACACAATCATCGATTCTGTTTTTGTCTTGCGAAATTGCAGAAATCCAAAGCGGATAAATAACCTAGAAAAACAGAGCCACAATTGAATGATTAGTTCAAGATAAATGCAATGAATGCCTGCCGCTCGCCCGTACACCCCGCACTGCCCCGCACCACACACACAGCAATAACCATTCCGATCCATTGGCAGCATGCCCTCAGACTCAATTTGTCTAGGATTTGTCTTGAATTTGGATTGTGCTGGTGCTGTCGATGGTGCTGGGGTCTCCATTAGTTTCCCTCTCCACTCACTTTTCTGGAGATGAAAATGGTACAAGTTGTTTGCCCTTTCGCTCGCTTCCTAGTTTCTCACAAGCGAAAGAAAGCAATCTGCAAAAGGGGGAGGAGTTAGAGTCAGAGTCAGAGGCGGATAAACTGAAGCAAATGGGAGGGAAAACTTCAAACACGCCATATCAATTGTGTTAATTTGCACTCAATGTGCAACAAATTACAGTACTCAAAAAACTCAACGCCAAAAGAAAAGGAAATTAAAACCAACACAAGAAAGAAAGCAAACGAATTTCGAATATTGAAACTTTTAATACTGCTTAACAGTCGTTTCAAATAGTATGGTTTTAAACTACTAAGCTGATGTTAGTAAAGTTTTTTTTTGGTTTGGATAATCTCTGGAAACAAACAAGTCATTCC